TTCCCAGTGATGTTTTCATTGCTTCAAATGCCTTTCCTGTAGAAGGGTTCTTCTTGAACTCTTCAAATGAGAGGTGCTGACACATTCCCTCAATTGTCTCCTCTGAGAATGACTTGTCAAAAAAGCTTGCCAATTCTTTTATTGCCTTAGGCATATCCTGAAAATGTTAATTTGATTAATGTACAAAATGTCCCACCAGCTATACTTGCCATGCCTCTCATCAAATAATAGTAGCTGGTGTATACTGACTTTGGGTTTTTATCCATTACAACTACCTAATATGATATAAAATACATAAGGGTTATGTACTGGGAGGTTGTGGATATTTGCGTCGCAATTTTGACATTTTCTTTTACTTACAGTTTCTCCCCTAAGAAATATATTTTTCAGAGTTACAATGCTCTCATAATATTTTGGTCTTCCCATGACAGAGAAAACAGAACTTTACAAATTATACTTTAGAAAATGACAGAATATGTTCTGATTAAAAATGGTAAGCCCCATATTAAGTATACCATTGGAAAGGTTTTATTGTCATCTTTATTGTTTTTACTAGTCCATGATTTGGTACTTTATTTTATAAAGCAAACTTCAATCCAATCTGTGATCAACAACCATATTCTCAGTATACAAAGCTCTAAGATCAGGAATACATTCTCCCTCCCAAAAGACGAAGGAACTTGTTGATGGGTGCTCATAGTAGATATTTGATTCAAAAAACTACTTCATATCTTAGAAAAGAAAAAAGATCAAATGAGTTGAATTTGAAGAAATCTATCATTTAAAAAATAAAAAATAAAATAAAATAAATAAAGCTCATGTGGCATTGTTCCACTCCTCCTTTCATTTGTCTGTCCTTCTGTCTGTCCATCAACAGAGTTATGCCCTTTTCATTGTCAAAGCATTACATTTTTCATGTTGAGTATAAGGAATCATCATGTGAGCCCACTTGTGGCATTGATTTAGCTTTGCAGTAAGTTCTGACTTAGGTAAGAAAATTACTCCAGAATACCGTATTTTTATGAATATTTTCAAAGGTGACTGCTTGGACTATTTATTGATTTGAAGCAAATAGTGAGTTACTCACATTTTAGTCCACAGTTTGTCCCTGGGGGGTTCACTGTATGTAAAATTTGTTGGGGGTCCTAGGCTGAAACCTCAGAAATCAATATGTTCCCATACCAATCTGTCAAATTTCAGTGTGTTCCCATACCAAACAAAATTATGCCCAAAACACATACCAAATGTCCAAAATATAAAACTAATGCCATACCAAATATCCAAATGTAGGACCAGTGCCATACCAAATGTCCAGATATAAGACCAATGTAACTACTAGACAAATGTGAGCTGACTTATTTTCCATGACCATTCTCATACCAGAAATAGGAAAAATCTTACCATTGTACTTTTCTCAAAAGTCATAATTTGGGGAGGGGATTCTCCTACCAGATTCTAAATTATGGGTCCATTGCCATACCAAATGTCAAAAAAAGTTACCCCATGTGCGCCGAGGAACCCCATAAAGATTTATATACAGTGAGCCCTCCGGAATTAATATGATGAAATAATTAGATTGATCCTAAAATGGAATGCAGGATAATTTGTTTTGAATCATATTTGTAATAAGTGTTTGATCGTGTGAACAGAGTATTTCAATTGCCTGCTTATCTAATATTTTTGCAATTTTACAATATTTTAATTCGATGTTTATGATGATTATTATTGCACAATTGTGGTTAATGTCACGACTCACTCAAATTTTATGATATAATTGCTTGTCTCTAAATGGTTTATAGGAGACTGCTCACAGCATTGGTCACTGGATTTTATAAGTCACTGAGTTGATTGGCATAATTTGAATGGTATCTCAAAAAAAATTTAATGGGAGGTTATTATTTTAAATGGATTTTTGGCAATGTTTCCTCTTTTTAATGCTTTACTAAAAGGCCTTTGTTACTAAAATCATTTGAAGGAGTTCTACATGTACCATTCAATGCATACTACATGTTATAAAAGGAAACTTATTGGTTACATTCGTTAAAACATATATATTACATAGATTGGATTATACATGTATATAGTACTGATGACTGTGACTAATGGTTACATATGGTTTAGCTTATCATCTCTCTTATAGACATAAATACCTCAACAAACACACACTACTTTACCATACTGGGACATTAAGGACATGAGAGCCAAGAACAAGAAAAAAGAAAAATTCCAAAATTTTTATGGTTCTAATTTTTGACATCTCCAGGAGCTGTACTGTGAATTTATTAGAGACAAAATGGTATATGAAATTTAGCATTATTGGATGAATACACAGAGAGCTGTTATATCTTAAGAAAATGTAAATACAATGTAGGATTGTTTTAAAATAACAATATATGAAGATTGATGTAAACAATAATAAGGTATAATTTCAAAATGTCAAATTGTGAATTAATTAGATTGTATGTGGTTTGCACTATGATCTTTCCAATGGTATATCACCCTAGGTACCATCTATTAAGGTTTTAGCTGTAGCAGGGGGGTTATTTGACCTTGGTGGGGACATGTCTACAGAAAATGTCCAGACAGGAGGGGCTTTGTATAAAAAACTTCCTACCTCATACCCACCTACCCACGTATGTGGGACATGATACAGTCTTTGAAGGGTTCAATTTTAAAGATTTTAGTTTATTAAATCTTAGTTTAGGATGAATAATAGATGCATTTGTAACAACCCTTGATAGCAAGTTGCTACTACATCCCAGCTTGGTTCGATTACCACTCAGGGCATCGAATTTAGCACACTTTCTTTTAATTTCTTTATCTGGCTTCTTGGACTTATGCTCGTGGTCATTAGTTATTTATTCCCCTGGGGCGCCCTTGGGTCATTACACATTAAAATGCATCCATATGCCTTTATTTATGCATCTGTCATCTGTCTAGTCATAAAATAAAGCTGGAATTGTAGAAATGTTAATAATTTGAGCTATTTTGAGATTTAATAATCTTTAAAATTGAACCCTTCAATGACTGTATCATTTTCCACGTAGGTGGGTAGGAGGTTTTTTATACAAAGCCGATAGAAGGTAATTCCTATTACAGACACACATGTTTTACTCTCTTATGTCAGATATTGCATTTCAATTAGGTCATCTTACTTTAATTCCAGAAGGGATGCACGTGCTAAGCGTGTCAATATGTTCCTGTTGAAATCATTTGTTGCACGTTGTGTGACATTTACTAAGTAACGATTCATGTTTCATACTGGCAGCTGATAATAACCTTAGTGGAAATGGTTTGATTAATTCTAGGAAGAGGTTAAAAGTACAGTTAGACAATTTATTCAAGGTACAATCAAAAATATATTAAAGATAAGATAGTACTTTATTATTTCCTTCTGGAGTATTGGTCAATTTCAATAAAGATAATAACATGCATATATTAATTACAATGTTCATATAATATATATGTAAAGTATACAAATGGGATAAATATATGTAAGGTACAATTAAACAATTAAAGGTACAATGAAAATATATTGAAGGTACAATCAAAAATATATTAAAGGTACAATCAGTGATAGAGAGCAATATGTAGAAGGGAGTTACCATGACAGATAGTCTAAATGCTCCACTATAGATAAGTGTAAAACTATATTCGATTAGAAATTATCTTGATTTGCATCAATAATCATTAAATTGTAAAAAAGTAATTGGAATCTGGTCTCGGATACAAGACACAATCATTAAATCATTCACAGTTCATTGGGAGTCATGTGGTTAATTCTTTTCACACATTGCAAAAGATTTTACACAGTATCACTAAAAGAATTTTTTGCAAAGGTTTTCTTAGCTTAAATGGTTTAAACTCACCAGTGTGACCATGATATATTAAAAAGTTATCATCAGCGAGGAAGAAAATAATTGTTAGCATACATAGCCTCAATTTTCTTTGTGACAGGTGCTGAGCGTCACTATCCACATTTGTAACAATTGTTACACTTAAGTACTTGCTACCAGATGGTGACATTTGACGTATTAATTAATACCTATGTTAAATCGTTGGATTTGATCAGATGAACTCCTATTTGACATTTAGTTGACGCCTTTTATACCATTATTAAACAAAGTGACATTTTGTATATTTCCAGGTTTCCAAGAAGAGTGATTATATAAGTGATCGGTTTTCTATTGCTATATGTCACCAAATCCTGGGGGACGCAGTTAACTCTCGTCAATAAAGACCAATATACACTCGCTTATATAAACCATTAAACCATTAAACGCTCAATATGGACCGATGAACACTCGCTGATAAAGACCAATAAACAGCACCAATATAGCCAAATAAATACCTGCATCCTGAGTGCCTGAATACCAACTAATGCACACGCCAATATGGATGAACATTTGCCAATAGGACTTACCGTAGGTTAATAACACCTGATATCTCCATCGCCTCCAGGTAGGATGTATATAGTATTAGCTGTAAGTCACATGGATGTCCAAGTGAATATTGGAAACAAACAGTTGAAAATCAAAAGTACATTGTCTCAGGGCCATATTTGAAAGTTAAATTTGGTACTATTTGTTGGCATGTGATAATTCATATGAGCAATGATATGTCTATGATATAATGACTTAAGACAAGATGAAGCTTGAAGAATAATAGTATACATGTGTATGATAGTAATCCTGCACTTAAACATGTGTGAATTGTGTAACTGATACTGGTACATACGTATGTAATCATATATACTAGGGTTACCCTGTATTACATACTACAGTCACACAAACTCTACATTAGTAATGCTAAAGCAGCTGACAATCAAATGTATAAAATGTGGACAGTCTGGCAAGATCACAGTGCAGCCTACCAAGATGACTTTGTGATAAACGGATGGGCTCTTTAAACAGGAATTGATGTACAGATTCATATTACAATGATGTTATGCAATTTCTGAATTTGATACACCACATAGAAAAGAATAAGCAATAAATCTGTTTTTATACAGGTGCTAATCAAAAACAGCAAGTGATTATTGCAATGACGTCTTTTTGAGTTTATTGAATTTTGAGATTTGTGTTTTGCTATAAACACATTTGGGTTTGTCTTTTATGATCAACTGTTCATTTATATGACAAATACAGGAATTTGTAGAGTATCATTACGACGACGCACACTGGAGTATTTTACCTGCGAGACACAAATATTAACACTTAACATTCATCAATTGATTATATTGAACAATTTAATTATATTCCTAAACCTTTGAATGATAAAACGATACTGGGGGGTACTATTGACGGTTTGAAAAGATTTGTGTGAACAGTTTGAGAGAGAATAATTGAGATATATCGCTGTGCTATTGTACTGATTGGATCAAATAAAAATACATCAGGATTTGTGATACATATAAACACATCGACACTGCCATCATTGATTTATACCAGCAGGTTTTAGAATTAGTTTTTACGCTAATCACGTTGACTTTGGCAGTTAGGTTCGAGGTGAAGGAGAAATAAAACAATAATTGGAGAGTTGGCTCAAAAATCTAAAAACTGGCAAGATGTGGCGTATAGCAGAAAGGTTATTTTTTATTTACAATGAAGACATAATATGTTTAATAACATCTCACTGACAAATATGGCAGGAACTTCATGACTTGCCAAATTTAACAGTTTTCTATGAAGCAATTAACTGAATTGCCAACAATAACATTCCGAACATGACAAGAATCGCTTTCTCTAAATCTAAATCTCAGAAATAATCATAGAATCTGACAGCCAAGGAGGAGATGTACAATGAACTGCATGGACTTGTACAAATTGTATAAGTGACTTGATGGATGTGAATTTTAAAGCTGGGATATAAAAGCTTGATTACTCCTGGGTTTTATCCCCCTGAGCCAATATATCTCAGAATATTCCTTGTTAGTTAAGACGGTCTTATACCAAGCACACCAAGATGGACTATTTAATCATAGTCTATGTGACTGTGCCCCTCATCATTGTCGCTCTTCTCATTGTTCTGGTGTATATTTGCTGCTCGAAAAAATACAAACTAAACTGGTTTGAACGTAACCTATTGGAGGAACAAGAAGAACAAGCATACATTGCTAACACTGGCTACATACAAACAGACGGGCTCTCCAGTGCTGTCAAAGCGAAAAAATATAAACCGATGCCATTGAAACACCAGGACGAGATCACAATTGAGTCAGAGGACAGTGAGAGCTCAGATTCTGATTATGGACCAAAATATAAGGTGAGTCTCAATTGCTTGACTTTTTGAACTATCCAATTCAAGCATGTAATCAGAAAACAAAGTAATTAAAACAAACCTCAACAAACCATATTAACAAAGGAACCAATTCCTGAAATGTGATGATGAAAATTATTTCAAAATCATTTGATATACAGGGTGTACCAAAAGTAACAGGACTGGTGCAGATATTTTGTTAAATACGCACCAATCATCTTCAAAATTTCAAATGTACTTTCATGTATTATGACTAAAACTCAAAAGTTTCGACAAAAATTGTGAAACTTGGGTAGAGTTATCGCTGCTATGGTAACATGACATCACAATACCTGGGGCAACATTCCACGCAGAAAGTTAAACAGACTCTTACAGAAACGCTTAAAGTTGGTACATCCCCTATCAAGGTTGACCTGCATTTCATAATTTTTTCAAAAACTTTTCAACAATGATGACAACGATGACACTCGGTGCAGAATTGACAAAATGCTAGCACCAGTCCTGTTACTTTTGGAACACCCTGTATTAATGACTATCTATGAAATGTGTTTGCCACAAACTAAGCTATTACCACAATATCGGCAATCTCCAGTTTTGATTTTTGGGTTTATTAGTCAATATATTCTATTTTCTGTTTTGATGATTCTTCAGTACATTTGGTTTCTGATCTAATAAGATTGTTCAGTTCAAGATTGGAAAATTGAAATACTAGTACCCTAATCTTGAGTTATTAATTTGCCTTATTGACTTATTTACAGCATCAACGTTTTACCTCCCAGACATGTCAGCGTAAAACAATAATTTCCGCATCAAAGTGTTTTATCCCCTGGACATTCACAATGTAAAAAAACAGTAAAACCTTATGAAACAACTTTTTAATGAGCACCTAGCTACATGGCCATGCAACAGTTTACAAAAGAATCAAGTCTCATTGACACATGCTTATGAACCATCTATACAAAAAACACCTGTCTATATGAACATTTTTGGTAAGTAGGGTGTTCCATATACACAATGTTCTATTGAATTATATTTTCATATGGAAAACTCATGAGGTAGTTTACATTTGTATGTTGATTTGTTGAGAAAGTCTTGTTCTTATATCTTTTTCTTTGAAATATTGAAAAGTCCACCAAAATTACCTTATTATCCCATCGAACGAAGTTCGGAGGGATATAGGGAATGCCTCCGTCCGTCCGTCCGTCCGTCCGTCCGTCCGTACTTACGTCCGTACGTACGTCCGTCCGTCCGTCCGTCCGTCTGTCCGTCCGTCCGTCCGTCCGGGCAATAACTCAAATACCGTTGGTCCAATTTTGTTCATATTTCGTACACATATACCCTATGGAGGTAGAAGTTCTGCTCGAAAGCCGATTTTCAAAATGGCCGCTCATTTCAAAATGGCGGCCATTCTAGTGACGATTTTACAGTAATTTAGGTGCAATATGTAAAACTGTAATAGCAATATGTTTTAAATGTAAAAAAAATTATAAAGGACATTAATAATGCTACAAATGTAGATATTAAAAAGCACATGGCAGCCATCTTGTAAAATGGCGGCCTTTACTCGTCATTTTACGATTTTTGCTGTAACTCTAAAAATAGTGGAGCGATTTTGTTTATATTTGGTGTGTGAATACTATAAGCATTGCACACTGTCTAAAGACACTTTTGGTAGAAGGCGGCCATTTTGAAAAATGGCCGCCATTTTAACGTATTTTACTATAACTCGAAAAGTAGTGGAGCGATTTTGTTCATATTTGGTATGTGAATACTATAAGCATGGCACTCTGTCCTATGACACTTTTGGTAGAAGGCGGCCATTTTGAAAACAATTTTGAAAAATGGCCGCCATTTTAATGTATTTTACTATAACTCGAAAAGTAGTGGAGCGATTTTGTTCATATTTGGTATGTGAACACTATAAGCATGGCACACTGTCCTATGACACTTTTGGTAGAAGGCGGCCATTTTGAAAACAATTTTGAAAAATGACCGCCATTTTAACGTATTTTACTATAACTCGAAAAGTAGTAGAGCGATTTTGTTCATATTTGGTATGTGAATACTATAAGCATGGCACATTGTCTAATAAAACTTTGGGGAGTAGTCGGCCATTTTGAAAAATGGCCACCATTTTTACGTGTGTTATTTTGCAAGTACGTGTGCGATTTTTCAAAAAATTTTAGAGGTGGCTACTTAAAAGCATATTATTTCTTCTGATGACAACTTGACTAGTGAGTAACCATTTTGAAAATGGTGGCCTTTCTGGTGTGTTGTTTTATGATATTTGCGCTTCATTTGTAAAAATGCCAGCCATTTCTGTTCGATGGGATTCGCTACGCTTTGGCGTTGCCGTTGTTCTGGTTTTGGTTTGGGCTATTTTAAAAAGTCAATAATGGCTTTCCATGTTATTATTTATGGGGACTTTATTATTAATTTATCTTTAAAATATCTTTTCCCTGAGGAAATATGTAGTAGGGAGACATTGGAAACTAGATATGGGTGAACGACAATAAAATCTGTAAGGCACTTTGAAGAATTAATTCTCCATATAATGATTGAAATGTCATCAATGTAAGTGCATCCATCCAGGCGATAACTTAAATACCATGAGCACGATTTTGTTCATATTTTGTACACAAATACCCTATGGGGGAGAAGATATTCAAAATGGCCGCTTATTTAAAAATGACTGCCATTTTAGTGCCGATCAAATCAAATCATATCAATTAGAGCAATGAGCAATTTCTCAATAGACAACCAAAGGAGGCTTAATAGACTACATTGTTGGCAGAAATATGTGAAACAAAAGTACCATTTTTTATACTGTTTCAAAATATATATGTTAAATGATACTTCCCATGACAAACCCTGAGTTTATTAAATTAAATTGATGAAGATTATTGGTGGTAATGAATTAAACTAAACTGTATTATCATTGTATGTATATGTACTATTTTATACTCACAAGTGTGGGTAGAAATAAAGAATAAAAGAAAATATTTATATATGCTATACATATGAGGAAGAAGTCAATATCTTGATTTCATGAATCAAGACTTACCGCAACACGCAAATCATTTCTATATATAGTTACTTGTTTAGTTCATTTTATATAATTAGATGCCATAGGTGAATACAGGAGTTTCACACTGAAGGAAAATGCAAATCTAGCATTTATTGTTTAATTATCCCATCGAACAAAGTTTTGCAACATGGGGTCTATGGGGAATCAACCAGAACGAGAAGTCACAATTTCAAAAATATTTAATTTTCAAAGTTGATAAGCAATTTTCGAAACCATATTTATAGATTTACTTTTACAAGTAGATTTCAAATATGACATCACTTTGACTTAAATTTGAATATTGAATGACGTAAATCAAGATCATTTCTACTTGCATCTTGTCTATTATGCTATATTTAAAAGTCAGCATATTGCCTACGTAATTGCTCTGACAACTAACAAAGGCAGGAAAAGGCTTTCAAATGTCAACAAAGGCAAAAAAGGACAATAGTATTGGTATGTGATGTTTTGAAATACATGTAGGCTAGAAATATGTGGAGGCAACAATGTATATAGATGGACCTTGACACTAAGTTAATTGGCAAATGAACTACTCATCCCCTTGATACTTCAACTTCTGAAAACACAACCCCTGAACAACTCAACCCTGGACCACTCCTCCCTGGGCAATTCAAAACTCTTTGACAACTCAACTTCTAGGCCACTCAATCCCTGGACATCTAATCTCATTAATTACCTTTACACACAGTGGAAAAATTGAAATATTTTGTTTGGCTATGCAGTGAAGTGATTTTAACAGATTGTTATTATCCATTCGAGTGAAGTCCGTCCATCCATCCATACATCTGGCCGTCCATCCGTCTGTTCAGGCGATAATCAAATACTGTTGGCCAGATTTTGTTCATATTTTGTACACATATGCCTTATGGGGCTAAAAGTTCTGCCGATTTTCAAAATGGCTACTTATTTAAGAATGGTGGCCATTTTAGTGGAGATTTTACAGTTTTTAAAACTGTAACAGCAGTACGTTTTAAATGTGAAAAAGTTATTCATAACATAATCATTAGTAAAGCTAGAAATGTGGATATTTAAAAATAAATGGCAGCCATCTTGAAAAATGACTGCCTTTACATGCTATTTCACAATTTGTACTGTAACTTGAAAACTAGAGGAGAGATTTTGTTCATATTTGATATCTGAATACTTATATGTATGGTGTACTATTTTATGACACTTAGGTTAGAAGGCCAAAATGTCCGCCATTTTTGTCGTGTCAGCCATGGCTGTTCGATGGGATTTGTTAGGCTTTGGCGTTGCTGTTGTCTAGTTTGTGATTGTTTCAAATAACAGGCCCAGAATTAGAATTTTTCCTAATTTAAATTCTACTTAAAAACCAGATACTATTATTGGCATTTTGTTAATTTTTACAGGTGATTGAACAGAACACGCCCATTCACTCCATCACTAGTGTAAAGAGTATCCGTAGCAACAGAGGAAGCACAAAAAGTGCAGGGGCAAGATCTGGTCTATCAGAGGATACAACTACCACTTCTCGTAGCATTGGGGCACGATCTTCCATCTCTGAAGAGACACCCCGGGGTAGTGTACGTAGTTCAGGAGCAAGGTCATCAATCTCCGATGATTCGTCATATTCATCACCAACGAATCGATGCAAACAACGTGCCAAGAGTCTTATTCCTGGGTTCCTTGGGCAGAATCATGATTTTGAAGGTAGTATATGTACGTATTATTCTCCATAGGGAGGGCTTTACATATTCTTCAAAACTAAATTTTCATGTAGTGTCTCTCAAATCTTATTTATATATATTTAATATTTTTATCTGAGATTTCATACATGCATGTAATAACAAGTGCTCACTTTGTAATTTGGTTAATGAAAAGAATGTTCAATAAAATACATGATTTATTATGGATAAAATCATTGGTCAAGGTAAAGGTTTGGTCATTAGTTTCGAGGTTTTATCGGTGAATGGGTTGTTTTGCAAAAATTTAGATAATATATAGTCCCAAATAAATCTTGAAGGGGTTTAGGTTTATCGCATATCTTTATTTTTTTAGACTATAATTTACTCTTCTAAAAGTATAGTGACAACTTGACCCCAACCTTTAAATCAGTCTAAGTGACTAACAAATCACTTGTCAAGTTTGGATACTTGACCATTCTGAGCTGATGGGTTTAAAGGGTTAAGCTTCCCGTATAAAAACAATATAGCGGCTCACGGCGAGTTAACTGGATCAGTCCATTTTTGAGGGGAGTTTTATAAAATCGAGTTTATTGAAACTGTCTTGGAGATAAAGTAATCCGTTTATAATGATTTTTGAAAACATTACTATTGATAGTACTATAGTGATTGTTCAAAGAATGCATATACAACAGCCAATATAAATCCTTGTATTGTAACTGCTTTGGAAGATATTTCATATGGCAAGCTGTGTACTAATACGTTTTGAGGAAATTTAGATGTCAATTTTACCTTATTATACACAAATAGAAGATTCCGAAACTTCACCCATAAATGTGAAATTGATTTGTCAAAATAAAAATCTCCCTTTTATAAATGTGTGATGATCTATAATTATGTCACCACCAAAAAGTGGTGACATATTGTAATTGTCTCTGTTTTTTTGTGACGACGGTTGGTGATCGGCGGTTGGCGGTCGGCGGTTGGTGTCTGTAACAATTCTTAAACTTCCAATAACTTAACAAATACTGTTAAGACTAACTTAAGTTTTTTTTCAAAATCATCTACAAGTTTTCAGAAGTTCAAATCTGACTATATATTTAAGATTTGACCTTCAGTGACCTTTTCAAGGTCAAAAAAGGTCAAAAAGGTATTTTTTCAACGTGCTTCAAATTGACCAAATTTTTTTTCAAATCATCTAGAAGTTTTCAGAAGTTCAAATCTGACTATATATTTAAGATTTGACCTTCAGTGACATTTTCAAGGTCAAAAAGGTATTTTTCAACTTGCTTCAAATTTACCAATTTCTTTTTCAAAATAAACTACACATTCTCTGAAGTTCAAATCTGATTTCAGATTTAAGATTGTACCTTCAATGACCTTCTCAGGGTCAAAAAAGGTGTTTTTTCAGCTTGCTTCAAATTGACCAATTTTATTTTCAAAATCATCTACAAGTTTTCAGAAATTCAAATCTGACTTAAGATTGAACTAATAATATTGTGAGCAACTCGGTGGTGACATTTTGTCATGTTAATGCCTTTAATACTAAAATTACTAATGCTATATAACAGTTAGAGGTGTTGACAGTGAAAGCATTTATATGTGCAATGAATGATACAAGATTATATTGGTTATGTAGCTTTTTGTTCTTTTATCTATCTAATTCATTGGATGTCCATAAGTATGTTGTTTCTGTTGCCATGACATCAGTTATCAGTTAATAACATGTCAGTATCATACAATGGGTGTTCAATGAACTATAAGTAGAGACCTTAACCTAAAACTTCTGTCAGGCCATGTCTATTTCACATTATTTCTCTTAAAACTTTGAATAAAGGTTCTAATTTAATTTTCTTGCATTGTTATATAAGTTGGAGTGTGTAATACAAATTTATTTGCTTTTTCCTTGTTTTCACTCTTTTTCACTCTATTTTGTATTTCAAAACATGACAATTGTGTTTTAAATTTTCATTGGGAATTTTGTAAGCTGCAAGTCTGGACTTGACAGTTGCAGTTGCTGTTGTCATTACTGTACAATGTACATATCCAAATTTACCATATCCTCTCTTATCTATTGTTAAAGTGGAAAAAGGAGGGAAACTGATTACCACAATGGTACATACTGGATTCTAACAATGTCTACTGCATTAGTGTAATTCTACTCATACACAACATATAAATGGATACAGAGGATGTATGTGTCATTAAGGTGGGGCAGGGGATACATAGTGATTTTTTTAATTTACTTATGTGAGATTTTAAGGAAAAAGAATGCAGAACAGGAGATTAAGTTCAACGAATCATTCAGGTGCATATTTTTTTGATAAATTAAAGTTGATCTATTTGGCTACCTATTGGATTTACAATATAATAATTTCTCATTTTTATGTCACTGCCAAGAAGCGGTAACATGTTATTATTAGCCATGATTTCTTGAGACTAATTTTCAGCGATCTGTGTCAATGTTGGCAGTTGTTGTCTGTAACAATATGTCTCTGACTATAGCAACCATTTGCAATACCTAACCAGGTGGTGACATTCTGTTATGATACGACGTCTTGTGATTTAATATGCATATTCTTTTTTAGAAATGATATGTATGTAGTACGTCATTTGATGATGTTTAGTTTGAAGGTTATCACGAAATCTGCCATAATTGAAGCAAAATGAGAATAATAAGAAAATTACTTCTAAATTTAAGAATGCTTGAAGGATCCAATGTCATCCTTGAGCAATAAAACAAAATAATTACTTATTACTGGGGATTTTTTTATATTTGTTTGGTATAATATGCCTAGGTACCAAGTGACTAAATGACACACCTCTGTTATTTTATTGGTTGAATTCTTGTTCAAGGACGACATTGTTTCATTCAACACTTCTTGACATCAGCTATATATAATATGTTATGAAAATCTACCCCATCTTGGATTATCAATGTGTGAAGTTTTCGGTTGAAAATCATCTGGTAAACGAGTATTGTGTACCTGAGATGCATTCTTAATGATTTGAATTAATGAGCTGTCTATATCATGTCAGGGAAGACTTCATTTTATTTTGTTTATCTTTGTCACAAGTTTTGTTTGTGTCGCTTACATGTTTGCTACTTTTTCTCTCAGTTTTCGTATGTTTTACTTTTTCTTGTGCTTTTTTCACCTGTTGGATGACCTATAACTTTTTATTATCATTTATGTCACTGTCCAAGCCCACGAGGTTATAAAGCTGCTCATTATATTTTCAACTATGAGGTGTTTACATATCCAAACCATTGTTCTTTAGTATTTGTTATGATTATTTTCTATAAAAGATCCTTGACATAGGGTCTGATTTGCCTTGTTGCTTGACAATTATTGTGAACTAACATCTGACTAAGTTAATCAGTAATTCTCTCAGTCTTGTTGGCAATGAACTTAAGATCAATATTTAAATATCTCCATGACAACATAATCACTTAAAATATAAACTGTAGATTCAGTAATTTTTGTCAGTCTTGTTGTTATGCACCTTAGGAATAAACATGTATAACATGGTAAAGGCAAACAATTTTATAAAACTGCTTTTTTGTAAGTATCATATATGATTCTATTAAGAATAAAATCAGACAAGAAAAGGATGTAACTATAAAAAAGAATAAACATGCAGGATATTATAAAATACATTTTGCAAAATTGAACTGTCAAACAATTATTGTGATCAATACTACAAAATTACTCTAAAAACATAACTTAACAAACACATGATTACGTAAAAAACATTCCACATAGATAATGGTTTGATGGCCAAAGGGACCATCACTTCATAGACATTTGATAAAATTTATATTTCTTGTTTTGCAGACACACCCCCTCCTTCGGGTAGATCCTCTGTTTCTACAGAGTTCACGTTCAACTTGCCCGCGACGCAGGAGAAACTCCCAGAGTCGGTGCAGCTACAAAATATGTCCCAACAGGTGGCACCACGTGCTAGTGGAAGACGACGTGCATCCATGCAGGATGCCATTGATTTCACAAAAATTGACTTCTCTTTGTATGATAAAAATGTAAGTGGCATCTATAAACAATTGAACTCTTAGAATAGTAGAAATTAGGAGGTGAGATACAGGGGCCAAAAAATGTTACCTATTCTTATTTGCTTACGGAAAACTCATCCCCTAGACAACTCATCTCCTGGACAGTTCATTCCCTAGACAACGCATTTCCTGGACAACTCATCCCTTAGACAACTCATCCTTTATCACATGAAGCTAAATTGTAAAGTTTTTCTGGAAAAGAAATATTAAATAAATACACCATAGATCATTCAAAATATTATTTATCACTTTATTGACACAAAATTATTTGATTTCAGTCAAACGTTGCCAGTAAAACTCTCATCTTCTTTCTGGATGAGTTGTCCAGGGATGAGTTGTCCAGGGATGAGTTGTCTAGGGGATGAGTTATTTATAGAATAACAAGTACCTTTAGATGCAATCATGTTTTTTATTTATGTTAGTTTAGTTAGAATTAACCTCTTCTTATTAAAAGGTCATCCAGAAAAGTCTGATAATTACCTGATAATTCAATGATAAATGTATAATCTTTTCTTCAGGACATCCCAACACAAAGTTCCTTTGGAAGTATCCCAGAAGAGAATTTGGGTTCTGTTAACTTCTCATTGAGTTATGATGTGGAGACGGGTCTCCTTGCAGTCCACTTGATCCAAGCTCGGGAACTGGTTGCCAAGGAAACAGCACACACTGGCGACCCCTATTGTACATTATCAATCTTACCTGATAAAAGAACTTGTGTTAAAAGTAAAGTGCAGAAAAAGACTCGAAATCCAATGTTCGATGAAGAATTTATTTTTGACATTCATCCAAAGGAGATGAAAAACAAAACATTTGAGATCTTGTTCTATGACTACGATCAGTTTTCCCAACATGACGTCATGGGACAAGTTCACTTGGCCTTGAAGAATATAGATCTGAATGAGAAAGTGACACTGTGGAAAGGAATTTCAGCATATACTGACAATCTCAGGGAAAAGGGGGTAAGTAGAGGGGAGAAGGGATGGTTTGTAATATTTGAGAAGTAAATATTGTGGGGGTGTAAAATGGCCAAGTAAAGTGATGGAATAGGGAGAAAAGTGATGGAATGAGGTAGTGAAATGCTAGTAAAGTGGATAGGTGTGGCAGAGATTAGAGACGAGGAATAGTGAAAGGGAGGCAAAATTGGATCATATATCTTCTTGTTGCCTTTTAAATTTAAAAATGCACATCGGGACCATAGATTGTTTGGTTAAAACCCAAGATACTATGATTAATATACTCACAGTTCTATTTACAACTCATAATATTTTAGCAACCGCAACTCTAATACAAGCTTCATATATTTTCAACTTTGAACTTATTGTGAGAATACATGAAAATATATAATGGGAAAATCAAAATGTAATTGGTGAAGAATTAACAAAATACCATCCCGACTCCTATTACTTTTGGGACACCCTGTATATATTTTATTAACTCTCTAATGTCATCACGCAATATCAAGCCAAGTTTTTGAATGAGTGAAAAATGAATGTTACTAAATGCCAAATCCAGGCACAATGTACACCAGGACTGAATTTTGAAGAGTTAATACATTGTAATTTCTATTTTGGAATTTCTCTTGCTGAGAATATTTTGGCAATATACCCAAGGCTCCTAAGGGTTGTGGCATTTAACTTATAATAACATTCCGGTGGAGATTTGTTAAATTATGCTTTTAAAAGTGGGCTCAAATGTTTTATCATCTTTTTGCAGTTGACATATTTTAGCTAACTTTATTTGATATGCCACAGAAGTGCAAAATGAGGTGCATAATAGGAGGGAGGTGGGGGAGAGTTGGTAAATTCAGTCACAAACTGTCACAAAAGGTTCAATTTGTCAAACTAGAGGAAGGCATGAACAAGTAATTTTCAGGATATTGATATATCATACAGATATGGTTCATAATATGTAAAGATAAAACCACTGAACGAGAATTGGCTTTTAGCATTTAAGGTTTTAAGAGTCAGATGTAAGATAAAACAGGTAATTTGTAATTACCATTTGACTTTGAAATATAATACAAATAGTGAGAGTTAATGCATCGAGTTGACATTTAGAATCAATTCCATTCATGGCTGAAATCTCCATTAGTTTATAATTGGAGGTAGTGGGTTTTCCATTGATGGGTTAAGGTCACTGAATTCCCTATGCTGCCCTTTGTTTTTATATGCTTCAGTATACTATTTTATGTGAGATAGAAATATATATATTTATTATTATATCACTGTCATATTCCTCACTCTCTGATTGGTCCATGTTCCACATGGACTAAAAAATAACAAGCGTGACTTCCGTTGAATATCAAATTATATTCACCAGTCACGACTTTGTAATTTTGATTTTATACAGTATATCCAAAAAGTACATGATTAATTAGTCATCAATGGTTGTTATTCCATAATGTGAGTGAGAAATATAACAGTGAATAATAAAACAAATGTTTAATTCCAATTTCGGTGAATGCATGTGACACTTTCACAAGGTTATATTTGTGGAATATCACTTGTGAAAGATGCGCTCGGAAAACAAGCTCAGAATGGTGAAAAACTGCATGATTTTGAAAGAATTTCTGGCCGGGGGGCATTTAAATGTTATTGTGTGTATAGACGGGTGTGAAATTATAATGACATGACATTTTTTTTCTTTTAAGAGGTTCTATACTTGATGAATAGAAAAAAAAAATTGCTCTAATCCATAACAAAACAATAGAAAATTTCTGTTTGTTATGAATCTGACATAAGAATAATAACCACAATTTAAAGTAATCGGTTTGGGTTTCATGCCAATTTTTTATATAAATATTTGCTGTTTTGTTATAGTGCCAAGAATTGGGTGACGTTTTATTCTCGCTAGCCTACCTATCTACTGCAGAGAGGTTAACAGTTGTCATCCACAAGGCAAGAAATCTCAAACAAGATGATGGGAAATCCCCAGGTACGATACAGCATATAAATGTTAGAACTGTTCTTTATCTCAGGTCTTGGAATGACACAAAAAAGAAGAAACAATTTTTTTTAATTTCTCCAATTTTGGGAATATTTGAGAATTTTTTTGTAGTTGATAATAAGAACTTCATTAGTTGTCATATCGAAATGTTTGGAATCTAGACTTGGTTGAGCTGTAATTGAAGAGTTGCCCATATTAAACAAATTTTGTCCACCATTTTGGATGATACTAACTCCAATTAGTTTCATCCTGCCATGTGGACCAATGAGTGTGGTGGAGTAGAGGTTTAGCCAACATACACCAGGATTAAAATAACATAGTTTTAAATAACAGACCATGGTTTAAAATGCAACCCCTCACTTGACTGTGACATGTAAAAATAGGCGTTAACTACAAAACAACTACCCACTTTAAAAATGAAGTATTGCAATTATTCAAATGTTTTACATTCACTTACAGATACATATGCTAAGGTGTCTCTCATTTATGCTGGGAGACGTCTCAAGAAGAAAAAGACCTCGACCAAGCGTAATACAATCCACCCTGTATGGAATGAAGCTTTGACATTTAGCCTCGGGAATGAATTCCTAAATAACATAAATATTGAAGTTGAAATCATTAACGATAATTTTGTTGGAAATAGAGACACTATTGGCCATGTAATACTAGGCCCAGAGTCGTCTGGAGACGAGCATGCTCATTGGACAGACATGACGGCCAATAAGAGTGCAATCGCTCGGTGGCATCAATTGTATCGAAGTGACAGGTAGCTACATAGAGAACATATATAGGCATTATACAATATATAAAAAATGAGTGTTTTGTACATTCATCGGAGGATGTGAGTTTCAGTTAGATGCTGGACATTGTGTAGGTTATGATTAAAGTGAGCGAGGCTTTCATCTTAATGTGCTAGGCATGTACTATGTACTAGGCTATGATCAGAATGAATTAGCTCTTCATGTTTTATGTTATGATCAAAATGAGCTAGGCTATATCAATGAGCTAGGCTATATCAATGAGCCATACCTTTATGTTATAGCATATGAATGAGCTTAGTTATCAGCTTCAGCTTTATTTCCTTATTAACATCATCATCATGTTATGTTATCACATGATCAGAATGAGCTAGATCTTTATGTTCTTGAATATGTTCAAAATGAGCTTGGTCAGCCCATGATCAAAATGAGCTAGGTTTTAAACATATAGCTGAATGAATATATATATACATGGCCATGGATGGTTAGAAAAATAATATGTCTTTTAGTTTTGTTTTGTGTCGTACATGAATTTGTGAATGTATGATAATTATAAAAAGTACAAAATGATTAGATATAATGGCTGCTAAAATTGATATCCTGTGTATATGATATGGATGAAAATGAAGACACATACAGTCCAAGCACATTCCAGGTCATGTAGTATACTAGTACATGTAGCTGCAGTGTAAAATAAATTATGGTCTCAAGGGATTATGGCCCCCCTTCCATGTGAACATTTGATAATATATTTGATGATGGCCTGATTGAATAATACATATATGTAAGAACTAAAGTGGAAAAGCTAATGTTAAGATGCTATAGATCAGTGGAGGAGGGAACCATATTTGGCTTGGACCCATATTACATTTACACAAGGGCATATTATATAGCCACAGGGCATATACGCACAAATATGTGCACAAAAGCAATGTAGACATTTGCATTGCATTGTTATTCCATTTACAGTATTTGAATACTTATATACATGAAGTACAATGTGTCAATCTTATTCACGCAGTCTTTGGCTCACTCACTTGTTTTATCTTCTGTGCAAAATTAGAGGATTTATTTACGTCAAACTGCAGCATTTCAATAATTTGGGGCCTGTAGCATTAGAACCCAATAACTTATTTGTTTTGTTTCATTATTGCTGCCCCATGTCCAGGCCCCCTGTCCCATATTAAAGTGCTTTGTCAGTCAGATATTGCTCCTTATTAATCCCACCATCTTTGTCAATTCTTTTATCACACATGGGAATTTCGTGTCATAATTATTCCTCCGCTTGGTGCGCTGTTGTGCATAGCAACGTCCTATGCATCGTGTATAAGAACAACCCGTCATTTTTTCATGTTTGCAATTAAATTTTCTATTCAGATAGGTGTTTTAAAATTTGATTTTCTTTCATAATATATATTGTTAAATAGGCATGATACATATCATCGTGTTTCTAAAGAATTGCTTATTTTAATCCTGTTTATTTCAAGTTGATAGGTTCAATATTAGTAAAGTTACGGCTTCACTATGGAGGGGCAATTTCTTTGTAAACTAAAAACTGCATCTTCAGCAAAGATTTGACGAAAACACAACATTTTTGCACCAGTGGCATTTCTTCATTTATGGATGAATCTTTATCAAATTTGAAACACGTTTTAGCTAAATATACAAATTGTGTCTTGTTCGAGGCGGAATTTTAAAATTCAAATTACAGTTAGAGAAAAAATAGCTAACCAGTGTCAAGTTTTACCGCTGATTTTCGAAAAAAATATGATGTAATTCCTTATAGAGTTGGAAGAAAACGAATTGTTTAAACTGCACAGGATAAAAATATATTAATCCAGATACATGTAAGCTTTATATACAAATCATTACATACATTAAAGGGCATCATCAACTACTAGAAAATCGTGTGTAAAGTTGGACAATATTTGACCTGAATTGACCGGCAAAATGGCCGCGCGCTCGCAGCGCCTCTATCGGAGGAATAATAATGACGCAAAATTCCCGGGTGTGTATTTCACATTTTGCTATTACATAACTACATAATGAGGAAACTGGTATAAAGTACCGTGTTAATTTGACTGCAACTGCTTATTGTTGAAGGTACTCAGAATCTCCATTATCAAATAAGTGGGACAGAAATTGTGACAGAACATAGCTTTTGGACAAAGCGTCATTTGACAAGTATATTATATATTACATTCAAGGTTATATTTGCAGTTGAGATGAAATCAATGAGTAAGGCCGATTGTATTATGAAAACGTGTAGATGTTGCAGTATCTATGACATTCTCTTCAAGATGAAAACACGTTATTATTGAAATGATTAGAGGTGTGGGTTGCACGTGATAAAGTTACAAAAGCATCTTTTCCACACATGTATCATTTTAGTTTGACACGTGTTTCTGTTTTACATGTGTATTCATTTTACACGTGTTTGCATTGTAAACGTGTATTCATTTTACACATGTTTTGCATTCTAAACGTGTATTCATTTTACACATGTTTGCATTGTAAACGTGTATTCATTTTACACGTGTTTGCATTGTAAACATGTATTAATTTTACTTGTGTTTCCATTTTACATGCATATTCATTTTAGAGGTGCAACAAACAAATTAGAAATGAGTGAAAAGTAAGTGCATATATCTAAAAAACTGTCAATGTCTTTCAATAAAAATCCATGTTCTGAATTATTCATAATCTTTTGATTTTTATGGTTATCTAGCCAAACAGTTGAGAAAGTGGCTAATAAATTTGAAAATTTCTGCATCTAAGATGTTCGATAATTTCCAATATTGATCAGATATCATTTGCAACATATTACACTCTCTATTCATTTTTCTCAGTATTATATTTGGCTATAATACTGTACTCACTGTTAATTTTGCAAGTTTTAATTCACAGTTATTCAATTTTGCGAATTTGACAAGTTTAAATCATTATTTTTTTAATCCTCTGGCTCTGTAAACTGAGTTACCTTATATACAGTAATTATACCTACCCAAGTCATATTTGGTCAGTGAAATGCCATACCTCAACCTCTATTACATCATCATTTTTGAATAATTGCTTTGATCTAATGAGCCATTTATCACCCAATAACACTAGCTGTACGAACATTTTGCACAAAACAAAGTACATTGATCGGAGTCCCAGGTAATAACAAATTTAACAAATCCCTGATTTGGTGATCTGGTGATTTAATTGGCAAATTTTTGGACGATTATTTTTGCAATTTTACCACAATCGCAAATAAAGCAAAATTAAATTGCACGTGAAAAATACTGTGAGTACAGTTGTTGAAAAGTCATCAGTGTCTCGATATAGGGTACAGAATTTTTAGTGATGATATATGGAAACATATTTTTAACCTGATGAAGCTGACAATATTCCAGCAATTCCCATCATTTTGAAAAAATAATTCAAATAAAGTCCACATGACATTACAAAAAAAAAAAAAATCTTTACCCTATATCGTGACATACATGTATATGTGAACAATAGTTGTATCCATGTACATGTAGCTGGTTTTATCAGAAGAACTGGGAACTGAGGGAACTCTCTCATATCTTCAAATCTGACTAAAACCATGTAGTTTTTACACCAAGATGGCTTTGCCAACAAATTTCAATTTTGATTTTACATAATATTTTTACAAAAAAAGTTTGTGTTGATCAGTTAATTTTAGAAATTAATTTATCTTAAAGGACATTAACCTGACCATTTTGTACATGGATATGAAGGCATTTTTATCAAAATGGATGAAATATGGTTTTATTTTCTTTTGACCTGATTAGATGCTTATGCAATCTGATAAGTTCAGGTGTATGGACATTTTATTATATAAACTTGCTTTATGAAAGAAAAAAGAAGGTAGATGCACATTTCTTGAGAATTCTAGCATGTGCTGGTGCTAACACGCGGCACATATGAAGCAAATAAGATATTCCTGCATTGTTTATGAATTAAGGTATCTGATACTGATGAAGGTACAGGGGCAGTCACTTCTGATTTCATGATCTGAGTACATGTAACTTTGTATAATATGTGTATTGTTATATCTGTAGAGTATGATTCTGTATGGGTTAACTGTAAAGGATCACCATTATCAATTTATTCACAATATGAGGGGTAGATCAAGAGTAATGGGCACAGATAGGATGCATTTTACCATGTCTCTAAAGTGTTGTCTGTTTCTTTTGAATCTCCCCTCGTATAATGCATTTGTATGAAAAGAGCATGCAAATGCAGAATGAATGGATTTTGCGCAATAAGGTGCTAGAATAGTTGAATTGACCAATGTCAACATTTGTGATGTAACAAGTAGTCTGATTGGTCAAATCAAGTTAATGCATAATACTATGTAAAAGATAAGGATGCAGCAAAACACTTTTCACACTAGAGCATTGTTGAGTGAAATGTACATGGGCCAAATGTAGATGTATATTCCTTGTATTGCATATCATGCATGTAATGTAATGTGCATATGCATTCATTGAGGTGCATTAAATGCATATCTATTCATTTTGGCAAATGTACATTTTAGTGAGGTACAATGTTTATTCATTGAAATGTATGTATATGTTTATTTATTGTGGTATATGTACATGTGTATTCATTGAGGTACATGTTCATGTATATTCATTGAGGTACATGTATATTCATTGAGATGCATATACATTACATGTATATTCATCGAGGTGCATGTAAACTATATGTGTATTCATCGAGGTGCATGTACAGCACAAGTTTATTCATTGAGGTGCATATATAGTACAAGTATATTCATTGAGGTGCATGCATAGGCCACATTCATTGAGATGCATGTACAATATAAGTATATTCATTAAGGCGCATGTGCAGTACAAGTACATTTATTGAGGCGCATGTGCAGTACAGATGTATTCATCGAGGTGCATGTACAGTGCAAGTTTATTCATTAAGGTGCATGTACAGTACAAGAATATACAGAGGCGCATATGCAGTACAAGTACAGGGTGGTCCAAAAAAGTTTAACTGTTACAACAGGCTATATTTCCCTTATAACCTCCAGGAATCCTTTTATATTTTCACATAAGGTCTAAAGTTTTACATTCTTCTTAGTATTGAAATTTGCAGAAATTATAAGCCCAAACCAAATGTTACTGAAAATTGATAAAATCACAATCACATTGGTAAAATTTTGCACAATATCTGATTGTCAGGCATGTTTGTTTAAGTCTTGGAATTTCTTCAAAATTCACGACTGAGAATAAATTATGGCATCAACAAAAATTTTAGTTAGACCTGTCTCTATAAAATGTGATAATATGAGCCAATTTTTTTTTGGACCACCCTGTATATTCACCAAGGCACATGTAAAGTACAAGTTTATTCATTGAGGTGCATTGAAATGCATGTTTCAATCTGAAGTGTGCATAGAAATATTTAAAGATTATTTAATTTTGCTTCAAAACAAGTTTTTTTCATGCCAATATTCAAGGCACCATATTTCCAAATGTTTGTTCTAAAGTCTACATGTTATTGCCATCTTTGAAGGCGAACTATAACAATTAAAATGTAATTTTATTAACTAAAACAGTGTGATAATCATATTATTATCACTGTACTGTTTTATGTTGTTTACATTTGCATTTCCAAAAAGTCTGTTTGATTAACTAGGGTGTGCGAAATGAAGTGAATGAAGAATTTAGTATGAAGGTTTTGAGACGACCCCTAAAAGTAACAGAAATCATAACTGTAGTAACCCCAAAATTCTGAAGACCTTCTATCTATAAGGTTTATGTCCTGTTGCACTGTTGCAGAACACCTGTTTTTAATACTTTGAAACAGTAATATTATATCATTAGACAGTCCTTGATTTATTTTTACAATTTTTGCAAAATTCCTTTGAGTCTCATTAAGTTATAGCAGAGTTAATCAGGGGTCCTTTCGTATGCAAAATTCTTTATCAAAAATCCAGTTTATGAATCCACTGAGATATTCTCCCTTTATAGGTAACTGTACACTTTACAAGGAAAACATAGTATTATTTATTTATTTACCAGTATTTTGGCTATAGTCAGGTCAATCGATTTGAGTATATGAAAGTTATTGAGGGTGTAAGCAATGGTCTATTTATTTTATTTTAATATATAATTATTCTGCCCAAGGGATTCACTTTTAGCTTTTTGAAGTGCATATAGCTCCATGCAAATCTAAAACTGGAAAATGTCTAGACACATTTTTAGAGGTAATTATCAACTTTGTGATAATTACTTTGCATTATTAGAAATTAACTTGGCAATATTGTCTCCCTTTAATTTGCAAGGATGTGACTCGATCAACACAAACACTGTTTAAATTAGAAATTGCATCATTAAAGTTCTTTAGTCTAGCCTACATAAAAAAGGTAGACACACATTTTCTGACTTTACCTTACAAGTTCCATTTTAACTCCCAAAAGGTCCATGAAAACTACATTTGAGATTGTTTGAAAACAAAATTGTAGTAGTTGGAGTCTCGTGTGTCTACCAAGTTTCTAATTTTGTAATTGGAGGATAACATTATTGGATATATAATATGGCCAGGCCTAAGAGGAGAGTGTAAAATGAAATTGACAAGAAGGTTGCAGTATGAGAAAAGTAAAAGAAGCAAAGATATTTATGTAAAATTAAAAGCAATGGAAATTGCCATGCTATGTAAAAGTAAATATTATAAAAAATATATATCATTGTTTTGAATACAAATAAAAGTGAACAGAATTGTAATTTTGTGATAAAATACACAAATGTTATGTTAATTCTGATTGACTTACTTGAAAAGTGACATATTCTATAGCATAGCGTCATATACACATAAAACACCATGATGACTCTCGAGAAAAGTTGATTTGTTAGATTGAAATGCCCCACACTTTAAAAATGCCCAATAATTTACATTTTATTGGTTCATATGAGTTGGAATTTCCTATTTTAAAACTCCCAGAACGCTTCAAATCAAACCCCCTCGCCTGTGGCATACAGTCACAAAATACCTACGCTACAGCAATGTGTGGGTGGGCATGTGGCAAAAGAAATCCTTGTATTAAAAACTTTATTTTATTTAACTTGATATCTTTACTTAATTTCCTTCATTTCTTTTTCATGGGTTGTGCAGAAATAGGCAAGGCTAGTACAGTTAACCTTGTCCATGTTGTCACTGCCCTTATTTCAATTATTGTGATTAAATTTAGGAATGTTTTTTTGAAGACTGAATATAGAATTGGCCTTTATGCATTAAACTGAGGCATGAACACAGAAAATGCTGAGATGATTAAGCCTACATTTATACAATAATTGCAAAATGGTGAGTCAGTAATATTACACTGAATAAGATCAGTAATATTACACTGAATAAGATTAGTAATATTACACTGAATAAGATCAGTAATATTACACTGAATAAGATCAGTAATATTACACTGTATAAGATCAGTAATATTACACTGTATAAGATCAGTAATATTACACTGAATAAGATCAGCAATAATCTGGCAAGTTCACCTGCTGCCTATGGAGATAATAATGAAGCCCTTAGGCAGTCTGCCCCTCTGTTAGACCATGAAGAGAGATCATGCGCGGAGTTCCATAAGTCTGCCATCTAGGATTTTCTTGTCTCCATTATAGCCCTCTTACATGCACCTTAATTTCACCTCAAGTAAGTTACTAATAATTTTATTTCAAAAAACACCTGAACTTGACATCATTACAGAACACAACTATAAGATTAACAATATCACTGTCTTTTATTTTCAATTAAGTTTGTATTGTCACAAAGCTATATTGATGTGGCCAGAAGCAGTTTGTGTACATAAGTATTAATAAATAGTTGGCACTAAAAGTCTACATATTTACAAACTCAAATTGCACCTCCTGTGACTCATCCTCACAATCCTTATTACACTACTTTACCCCCATACTGTATCCTGCCCTTTAAAAGAAATACAGGCTACAGCGAAGTTGCAAATGGAGGATGTTTGTTTATTTCCATAGTTCTGAAGGTATAATAGATTTTAAATATATTCAAAGTGTTCCACTGTACATTGTATAGATTCATCGAGCAGTTTGCAACATATTATTACCAAAAAGCCCAATGGACAAACATAGAGAATACCCACTCCATTTGCAACTTAACTGTACCCTGTATCATTTTTAAATGTGGTCACATGGTAGGGTAATGTGTTTATACAAAAAATAAAAATACTGAATTTTACCTTTGCTCCTTCTGATATTTTATAAATCTTTCTATATAATTAGTTTTCTTGAACCTAGTAAATGTAATAAAAATCTAGAAATTACCTAATTCAGTTATAAAGTCAATTCATTTAAAAAAATAAGCAAATTACAAACGACTTCAAATCCTGTTGATTAAATCGTTGTTTACATCCTAGACAAACCAATAATAACTTATATATCTCAATTAATTAATTGCCTTTCTGAGTTGCAAGAATTTTCCTAAAAAATCAAAATACTAGAAAAATTACAAGAGGGAAAAATTTAGGTCGTATCTAGGTGTATCCAGGCATAAGGCAGGTGAGACATCTTGCCTCCCCAAGACACATAATAATTAAGATGCTTTTGTAACTAAAAATGTGGCATTGAACCGCAAAGGTAGAAATATACCTCCTTAAGTCTTAATTTGCATTGCCTATTAATTTTTGCCTTGCTTAATTTTAGAACTTGACTACACCCCTATTAAGTCACAGATTTTATTGTCTACAATTGTTCCTTACATTGATTTAAAAGTTTCATCTTTCTAAACTTCTTTCAGATTTTCTTCCAAGGATGAAACAATTGAAAGATTTCTCAATGATTTTTTCATTTGAACTAGCATGGCATGTACAGTAGCATTTGTAAAGCTAAACACTTCTATGAAAAATCAGAAACCACAAAAGAATTAAAGAGAGAATAATAATAGATGTTGACATTTCATGGCATTCCAGTCTCTTTCATTTCATGGCATTCCTCATCATGTCTTTTTCTAAAATCTCTGAATATTATTATTTTAACAAAAGATGTCAGCACCTGCAAGTGTCAGTAGGATTCCCTTGTAATTTCTTTCTGGTCATGTCTTTTCCGATGAAATTCTCTTATATTTATATGAACTACATGTACTTAAGCATCAGGTATTTATATGCACTTATAAGTGTCACCATCATACCCGTTAACTATATTCCTTTCTTATGTTACACTTTTCACTATTTTACAAATTAAAATGTAATCATCATTATGGATTTCACAGTTCTTGTACAGTAAAGTACAAGTATTAGAAAAACATTTCAATGAATTTGGGGTTACATTTATCTCATTATCTCACTCCTGCTTGAAACATTGTCAATTTAGATATGTATTAATATAAAAACTTAGCACAAATATTGCACATTTAATAGTGAGAAAGAAGTATTTTAAAGGCCCTTTATACATATGTTATAGGTCTACATACAAATATATTTTTGGCAAGAGAGAATGTATCAAGATAGGCCTATTATAAGGAGAATCCTAGCTTTAAACATACACTTACATACTGATGAAATGCACAGACAGGCTCAATGGTCATCCCACTAGGCCTACCTTAAATCAATATGAAGGTGTTGTACTTATTTATCACCGGATATAGTATATACAGTGAAATCTGTCTATAGTGAACACCATTGCCTATCATATCCTAAGTATAGCTCCATTACACATTTCATAATTTTTTAAACACCTTCTAATATATATCATCATTAAATTGGAAGGTGTTCACTCAATATAGGTGTCACTGTACCAGAATATAAATTGTCAATAATTGCTGAATCTCACTGAAATACCAGCATACTATGTTGTATGTATTTCAGGCCCGTCCAAAGGGGGACTGGGGGAGGGGGACATTGAGGATGACCATCCCCCTTTCCAGAATTTTATTTTAGAGGTTTATATTTAATGATGCAAATATGGCCCAGAACCACCTAGCTTGCGGCGCTCTGCGCCAGTGACGCATTGTGTTGGTGCACATTCCATGCGCCTGGTGCATCGGTGACACAACCCATCCATACACAAGTCTCCCCTTCCCTTGGGAAATTCTTAGGATGGGCCTGGTATAGTATGTATTTTCATAATCATTATATGTAGTATAAGAACACATCTATAGAATGTTGATGCATGTTTATGATATTCATTTCAACACTGTACAATGTACATGATTATTTTACATTTAGGCTATTTCATTATTCAAATATTCCTACTAAAAATTGGTTTAAAAATGAAATAGCCATTTTATTTGATTTTACATGTTTTCTACATAGCACATATAGCTGTGGTTATAGAATTGTTATATGTCTTTGGTTGTATACAAACATAAGTTATCATGCTTATCCTGCACAAATTCTTTGATCTTTCAGTATTTCTATACAATTTAGAGTGTTAAATTCAAATCAGATTCTTTAAACTTTGATGATTCTATTTTTCACTGATTTTTTTTATCGGAACATGAGTGGTATTGTCAAAGTGGATGTTTTGGAATTACACTTCCCTCCAGGCTCATAAGAGGCCATAAGACATCAGATTATTGCAACAATGATCACATCAGCATAATTTAGTATCCTCATCAGTACAAGCATCTCATTTTCTATATGCTAAGGAGACATTTAAAGATCAATTATTTCTCCACTGAGAAAGGTATCAGCACAGCTATAGCAGAAATTATGATATACAAGGTATAAGATCATTCCTTGCCAGACTCGATCATGAATATTTAAGCTAAGCACAATGGGCAAAAGACATTGCTATACAATCCAAGTATGGTGATTATAAGCACATATAGGTGGACTGGATTCATCAGTATTCGCCCAACACATGCGTCTGGGTCCGATCATGAATAGCAGCAACGCATGGTTTTGAACTGATCCTATATTGCAACACTTCTGAGATATACGATAATCCACATTTTCGGTGGTATCATGCTTGTTGAATCATTTCAAAACATTCCATCTTTGGTTCATTTTGTTACTGAACTATTCCTTTCCATCTTTCTAGCATATTTTCACTGCTATCAATCTTTCGGGTCTTTCTTTGTTCGAGAATCTTTGATAGAATTCAACGTTTTTGTAAACCATGTGTTTTTCGATGTTTGGATTTCACTGATTGCTGCATTAAGCTGGTGTGTTAAGTCTTGATTTTTACACTCAGATTCAACCAACGCAAGTTTTGTTTGTGCTAGTTCAAGTTCTAGTTCCCGCACAGTAGCTAAGGCTTCCGTTAGACTAGGACTAGCTGGGGTTTCTGGTGGAAGTTTAATATCTTTGATGGCACCATCAGGGCTGAAAAGCTGGGAACACTTTTCACACTTTGACACTTGCACCTGAAAGATTGAAATGACATTAACATTTTTTGGAAATCTATTTTTTGAAGACAATTAATTTCTGGACCAAGATACCTATCAAATATGGAGAAACAAACATCGTGGGCAAATTTCACTGAGTTGGGATGTGGAATCCAAATCTTCATTTTGAAAATGTGGTGATACACTTGAACATCAATTTGAATGACTCAACTTTTCTCTTTTTAAAAACACACATTTAACCCTCTTGAAATTTACCTTTATTCTCTGTACATCTTCCTTGGATGCCGTCTGCTGTTTTTCAAGTCTCTCACTCAACTGCGAACAAATCTGGAAGATATAATTGTAAAATTGTGAAAAAGTCACAAATACAGTGTATAGGCAATTATATATTTGATTAGACTTTGATTACAAATTAGACTTTGATTACAAAATAAATAATCTGATGAACTTCACAAACCTCTAAATAAAATGGACATTCTATAAACATACCACTCCATTTGACCCTTAAGATTCCTAAATCATTGATTCATTTTTCCAATCAACCTACCTGTTTGTAATCTGCAATGATTGCACTGTTTCTTGCTGCCTCGGTTTCTGCCCTTTCCAGTTCCCGCCTACATACTTCCTTGAGTTGAACAGATTCAGATTCAAATCTTTTCTTTTCTTCCTCAATATCAAGGAGCATAGATTGTGACGTTACCAGCTCTTTGTTGAGATATTCACACTGATCCTCTGTCTGAATAATAATAAGGAACAGCAAATAATATATCAATGACATATGGATAGATAAAAGAGTGAATGACCATTAAACAAATACTTTATTGGCTTTAGGTTTTGTAAAAAAATTGAACCACAAAGCAGAATGACGTCCTAAAAGTACATGCGCTTTCATCTGATTTTTATAAGTCTTTTTTTACAGTAAATGAAAAGATGCAAAACACATTTCTTACTACAAAGACACGACTGATAGCCAAAGTGTAAAATAAGCTATTTTTGTAAAACATGGTAACAACTAACAAGGCATTAACATGCAAAATGTCACCACCTGCCAGTTGTTACAGATACTGACCACCGAACCCCAACTGCCATCCACAAAAAGGTAGGAGACTAACAAAATATGTCCAATTTGTGATAGTGACATAATAAAAGTAGCCTTACTGTATCTAAGTCATTCCTCAGGGCTATCTTACTGGTGACCAGTTCATGTGCCAGGTCATCATTCTCTTGTTCTAGTCTCATATTGGCCTCCAGGAGTCTCTTGTTCTCTCTCTGTAAAGAAAGGCATTTATCTTGGGTGATCTTAAACATTCTGCTTGCTTCAGCTGTTACAAGTGTCAATATTTGGAGATTATTTACTCCTTTTAGTTCATTTTGATTTGACTCGCATTATTTTTCTGTCAAATCTTTGAAATCAACATTCACTCAAAGATTTTATTTAATTGAAACTACTTTTACACCTGAAGTCTCTGCTATGAAACACTGACTTTGAAAAGGTACCCTTTGAAAATGGTGCGACTATTATAACCCTTGAATATAATTTCACATAGTTAAGTCCATTGCATAGCAAAAATGACCTGAGTCAGCAAGGGATAAACTAAACAGGTAGTTGACCCCCTTGCTTGCACCAGGGTTATGGGTATAAAAGACACCAAACGTCAGAAACATTCTTTTCAAAAGAGAAAATTGTTGGCATAGGATTGCCAGCCCATCAATTGACATTTGAACAAGAGGTTTCACTGAACTTTGATTCTTCAGTAAATATTCATGATTATTAGCAAACAACTGGAGCACAATCTACAGTAAAGTTTATACATGTGGATCTCTCAATTGAGAACCTGTAATTGTGAACATATTTCTGCAGTTGAATTTCGGGATATGATATATCCCATATTAAATTACCTCCCAATGTTATCATGACTCACCCCTTTGAACATGGTGAACACCTCTTAATGTGAAAGCAGTAACTGATCCAAGTAGTGTTCACTATTAACAGGTTTAAGTGCATGATATATTAAATATTTATCAGAGTCTAACTTTGATTAGAACAGATGTAGGAACAGGAATGTTAGACAATAAGGAAGAGGAAATATCAGCCTCTTAGTAAACTCAAGTGCTGATAGAGCACAGACAGTGCTTAGAACTCAAGATCCAAAATATTCACATTTACATGAGCTCGAACTAAATTGTCTAAAATAATTTGTAGATTTCGCCTCAATTAGATGGTCTTTTTAGGCCAAATTGTCAAAAGAGCGCCTCAAATTTCCGAAAAAAATCTTCATAGATTTTAAATTTGCACCCCCCCTTGTTAGCTTCTGGATTCGCCAGTGGACATTGGAGGAATTTCTTCATAGACATCTCAAATACAGTGACCTTCTAATTTACAACCAATGAATTTAATGATCGTGGTGATAGTTTTCAAAAGAAAAACTCCCTTTGTGTAAGTATGTGACAGACTCACTGAATATCTAATCATTTGATAAACATCTAGAACATCTGATTTATGGATATTCAATTGGGCAAATACATAATTAAGTTCAAAGCAATTACTAGAATATAGTATTATAACAAATGAGGAAATCCAAATTAAGGAAGTTTCCCCAAACCAACTTCCTTACTAAATTTCCATTGATATTTCAATAATAAATCCCAATGGATGCCTACCTCATATCTCTCCACAGGGTCCTCCTGTTGAAGTTCTTGTTCTTTCATCGTATCATACTCTTTCTCATATTTTCTCAACTTCTTGTGGCTCACCTGCAAGTATGGAGTTTAAAAATGAAAAAAAATTGGGAGTGTTTACATTTGAAAATATAGAGAGTTAACAGGTGAAAGTATAGATGAACGTATAAAGAGTTTACATGCGAAAGTGTAGGGAGTTTATATGAGAAAAGAAAGAGAGTTTGCATATTACACCAGAATTGCCTGACAACGGTAAAGTCAGATACCGTTGTCACAAATGGTGGACATAACCGTCGCTTCAACTCTTTAATCACTTGGTTCTCATTTCATGGGATTTTGTGGCAACGATATCTGACTTTATCGTTGTCAGGCTATTCCGGTGTGCATATGAGAGTCTAGAGAGTTTACATGTATAACGAGATTGCATATAGAAATATAGAGAGCATAATTGTGATAGTTACAAATCGAACACTCATCTTTTGGATTATTATTCAAATATTTAATTTTGGAGATTTTATCAATACTGTAGTAATAATACAACTAATATATATGTGCTTAGCAATCCTTCTCAGAATTGGCTGACAGATCAAATTCAAATGATCCGAACCAATCACTTCAGGGGCATATCCAGATTGCATATTCATCTAAAATCTCATTTGGATTTGTCTTTGTGGAAAATGAAATCTGATGCTTTTATCCTTCTTCCTCAACAGTAGACTATGATTTCCTCACTAATGTATAGATCAACAGAATTCCTATCATTACTCTCAGTGCATAGCAAAAAAGACCAATTTTTCTACAAGAATACACACTTGACAAACAGATCATTATTAGATCAAGACTGGTGTAGGAATAAAAGGCTAGCCCCTTAAATTGCTCTTAAGTACCTATTGGGGTTTATTTTCTATAGTTCTTGAGTATTGCTTCTTGTGCACAGTTTTATGATACATGTTTTTTAAATAACCATTCTTATCAAATGCCTAATTTGACCCTATATATCATCATATCATGTTGGCAATTCACTAAGATAACTTTTACACCATGTTCACTACTTGACATACACCTTACAAGTATGCTTACTACTATCTCATAAACTCGAGAATATGTTTGGTGCTGATAGAGCTGTACAATATACAGCAATTAAGAATCATTTTGGTATTTCTATAGGGTACTGTTTAGATTCAATAATCAATACTGATGTGCCTCAATGGTATTGTCCAAGCACCACAGATTTAATTGACAGTCGACGTAGAAAGTATGTTCTGAATCTTTCCCAAGCATTATTGTTTAATCGATATAAGGTCATTCCCATTCATGACAAGCATGACAAAATGTCATCACCAATTATTGGAGGAATAACGCAGATGCGAGTAGGTAGTTACCAGTTTCACCACCAGGTGGCTCGTTCGGGTCAGATAGCATGGCGGGAATAGAAGAAAGTTCCCTTTAACTTAAATTACATCTGTATTAGTGGTTCAATTTTCATATAACCCTTATGTATCTAATAGTTATGCAAATTAAAATATGTCAAGTAAAAGAAAATGTTATCTGTCAAATACAAGAAAAGATATTTCACTTTTTGTGATTTTGGAAGAACAAGAAGTCACATTTTCAAAAAGATATTAATTTTCAAAGTTGATAAACAACTTTCGAAACCATATTTTTAGTTGTACTTTTACATGTAGATTTCAAATATCACATCACTTTGACTGAATTTTGAATATTTAATGACGTAAATCAAGATTATTTCTACTCGCATCTAGTCTATTGATTCCAGACACCAAACACTGAATGCCTACCACAGTCCACCAAAAAGTTGGAGACTATAACAGTATGTCAGCACTTCTGGTGGCGACATGAGAAAATAATCAAATGAAATTGATTTAATCATAAAATGTTATTGTGATTTACCATTTCTGTAGTAGATACATCAAGTGTCATCTCCAGCATTATGTTGTTACGAATTTGTTAAAGACACATTAATCCAAATGTGAATGTCAGTCATGCACCTATCATAAGATGTTGTCCCTGAGATCAATACATACATCTAATTGTACATGTAATTGTAAATGTACAATTCTTATCATAATTCGTTTGTAGGCTTGGTTGTCATCATTTATTCCTGTATAAAGTCTCAAGATGATTTATTACTGTATTAAACTAAAAATGGATTTTGCATTTCCCTCTTTACTTGTGATACTAGATAGTCCAAATCCCTCTGATGTTTAATGTACATGTAGTTGAGCCATATGGCATAACTTATCATATATTTACATCATACATGCTTTGATGATCACTCTCCTTTGGTGTTTTATTCCTTTTTCTGACAAAATGATGGTGCACTACCTTTGTTATATAACAAATGACATTTCTACGTGCCAGTATTAATCCTTCTATTCAAAAATCCCATGTAAGGGTGACTATAGTAACTGATGAAATACCTCAGACAAAAAGCTGATGAGAAGTTGAGAATCTAATACTAAATATTTGATACAATTATTTTATAAGTGCTTTTATGGTACAATAATCCCTGTTTGGATATCCTGCATCCAATTCCAGTAATACAAGTTCAACCTCCTGTGCTACTTCACATAATGGCTTACTTCATAATATTGCTCCATCCAATAACTATACATATGCGTGGCACACTCTGCAAAGCCTTATTTCATAGATTACGTTAATTGGAGAGCAGTCAAAATGAAGTCATTCCATGCACTAATCTGTATGTTAATTTCTTTGTCTGAATAATACTAAATATTAAGACAGAATGGCATCACTGGTTATGACCACCACCCATGAGAGAATTTTCTTGTAAATTTTTAGCATATTCCAAGCTTTTTCTCTCTCAACTGTGAAATTACCTATTTTTAAAAAATATTTTTGAATCATTTACAGGGTCAACTTTATGCTTGTGATGTTCATTCCTTGCTGATTTCACCTTATTCCAGTCTATTTTGCATTTTATCACCTGAGCACCACTGTATAGTATTTTACTCATGGGCATGGCACATGCTGCATTTTTGTGTGGTTATCAATTTATTGGAATTCATATATTGATGAGATAAAATGATTATGGATTCTAATTTCCTTATCAATGAAATTGCTATCAATATATTAAATATTTGTGATATGATTAGAATGTGATATCATATGATTTTGAGTGATGTCATTTTCATCAATGAGTTGCTACGGACACCAATTTGTTACTTTTGAATCTGCCATAAAGCATTTCCGCAGGAGAATCGACCTCTATTGAAGTGCCATACATAAGAGATTAGAAGTATCAGTTTCTGATTTAAAGTCAATTTCAAAATTATAGTAATTAGAATTCATTTATTTGACATTATTTATTTTGTTTGAACCATCTGGCATCAAAATCCAAACTCTGATTTTGTTAATCAAGATTGGATTAATGATTAACTTGAGGATAAAGTATCCAATCGTATTGACATTTCAGTGATATATCGCTACATTATTTGAGTACTCATTGATCTAAATTCAAATACTTGATAACGTTGAATCTTTTCTGTAATTGCCAGAGATTTGTTATTGTGTGACCTTTGTAACTAATAGTTGCATCGATTTCCTTTGACCAACAAGATAATGTAATTATAATGCCCTTTTAAAGTTAATTAACAAAATGATGGAAATTGTGCTGCGCTAAATTGATGAGATTTCCTGAAGGTGATGTAATAGAGAATCAATATGGTTGCAAATGTATCAACGAGTAATAACTATAGCAAGCTAGCACATTATTCTCTTCACTTTTTGGGCATATAAGAATTATGAAATTCTTGTAGATTTCAATTCAAAATTACCATATTCACTAATATTCCTAGTACATATTCCTGATGCAGAGACATGGTAGATATCTTTAACACCAAATATGAAGACTATTCGACTATTTGTATTGAGTTATTCCCTACCCAGACAGACTAACGAGTGCTTTACTATGTTGGGATAAAAATATTTGATGGAAAAGGTCCAAACGTCCAAGGTAGTCTCAATGTCATCAAATATTTAAAATAAATGTTAATTATTGAGGGTTATGTACTCAATATGGAGGCGATATTTGTAGGTCTAAGGTAAAAAAAATGATATCAAGGGTCCACATCAAATTTTATCCCATATTGATGAAATATGGTTGGTTATCTACTATCAATACTATGAACAATAGAATAAATTGTTTAATATGGTCAAAATTGATCATTTAAAAATGTACCATCATTTTGAAAGTAGCAATAATTCTTGCCAAATCCAAACATAATCTTCCTCTCCTTTCTATTGATTCGTTTCAACAGACAAGTGGGTGATAGACCTAGTTCACCCATGACACTATAACATTTCTGAAATGCTGACTTGAAATTGACTCATTGGAGAATTGATCCAGCTAACCCTCATTTCTGTGGATCGATGCAACACAAAGGAACATAATTTGCTTGAACATGGCTTATCAGCTGATCTATAAACTCAATTATCTCATCCAAGAATCTCATTTTCACCAACTAATTATTATCTTTCCAGATTTTCAAGGATCTTTTTACAGACTATAGTTAAACCTGTATCATGGGAACTACTCTGTAATGAACAATTTTCGAATGAACGAGCTCCCATTCATTGATTTACAGTACTCTCTCTGTACTATGGGACACCTTTCTACCATGAAGAATTTTTGCCAGAACAAAACACAACATAATGATACACAGGTTCTACTTTATTAATACTGACAGCAGAATTAGAGTGATTGTGTTTGATTCCATTGTTCTACAGGCACTTTACTAATAATTTCCAATCCTTCTATTTCAGGATGCTTCCAACATGGGCTTTATATTACTCAATAGCAATACTTACTTACATGTATATAAAATATTTTAGTCAACTTTAATGGTAATGTAAGAGGAATTTGAAAATGTGTTGAAAATATCAAGATGACAAGTCGATGTATTTTAAAATTGATATCATGGAGCAAGCAATGCCAGGGTTCTATCACTGTTATTTCATTTTCTGTACTTGCTAATCAACATTTATTACATTAATTACATTAGCTTTACTTTGTGCACATTCTTATATTGTTATCGTATTGTTATGGTGACTAATAAGTCATTGTCATGACATCAGAGAGTCAATAAAAGATAGATATTAGATATTAGAATTTCACCCGAACAACAATTCTATCAAAGCAATCTATAACAATAATCACATTTTAATTGCTGTAGTCTCCTTGGCCAGTGCAGAGATCTTTTGGTCTCTAAGTACATTTTCCTGTTACCAAGGCAACCTAATATATTGTAGCAATGAATGTCAAAACAAGGCAATAAATGCGGATGAATGAGATGTCTTTTCATAGGAGCTAATCATCTGTATAGAGAACATTAGAGATATGGCCACAAAGCCTTGTAATTCATAGAGGGTGAACACTGAACACTGGGTCAAAATCCAAATATTTTCCAAGATCATTCAGCCTTGAGTCATTCTTGACAAAAGTCTTCTTGAAACCCAGCAATCACAATAACTACAGTATTGATGTAAAATAAGTTGGTTGCCTACCTTCATGCTCAAAGCTGTCTGAATAAGCTCAGCTGCTAAGTCAGGGTTGCGGTATTTCTTGGGTAGTGTCACACGGAAGTATTTAAGGACACCTTCAAAGTCGGAACTCAAAAGCTCTTTCTTTGACATCTGAAACATCAGAAATAGAAATAAAGCATGAACATGACGAAATGTCACCGCAATGTTTAGTAATGACAAATGGTAACACAAGAGTAACAAAATGTTACAAATTCTGATCACTGAATGACAAACACCAGCCTCATAATCGATGACTGTGACAATATGTCACAACTTAATGATTGTGAAGATATCTACAACATGGAGCATGGCATCATTAGACCACATGTGTATTTGAGGTATCTCCTTGAAAATAAATTATTATGGCTGGTTTTTGGTCATAACAATGCAGAAGGTAGCACATATCTGATATCTATGATAGTATCTATTATATATATATATCAACTTTTACAGAAAAAGACAGCTCAAACAGGCCACGCCATAGGTAACAATAAATCATCAAAGAATATTTTCGATCTGTTCGATTTTATGTGATATCTTTCAATGTCAAATAACAGGTGGCAAAGATATTTGTTTAAATGATTTATTCATTTTTGGTCCACTATATAGTATGTGTCAGTAATGTACGCCATCTATTCATTCAAAGGTGATTTAAAAGCACCTTGGTGAAAAGTGTGCATGTGTCACTCCGACTTCTAATGTTGTCTTCTCTCTGACTTATTATTTCTTGCTTCAACATTTACACAAAAGTAGCTTTTACTCAACTAAATGAGTAACATCCTAGATTTGAGGTATCATTCTTAAATATACAGGGTGCCCCGAGGTGAAAAAGTGCATATTGGAAAAAGAGTTCAGCCCTTTTGCTAATAAAATCAAAAAAAATATTTGACTTACCTTCAACAAAGCTAATGAAATGTTGAATATGGTATCTTTCCCCTCTAAGAAGAATATATCAAGAATATGGAACACCATGAATAGGGGGAACTTGGCAGTGAAGAGAGTCAGGAACCATTGTGATGCGTACATGTGGGACTCTAGGCCTATATCCATGAAGTGATCAAACAACTCAGGAATCCTGTCCTGAAAATATAATAATGAAATATGCGGCTAGAAGTACGATCAACATTTTGCAATCATTTCTACAATAATAAAGACAAAACCTCAACAATACTATGGTTTTCCAAGGAATGATTGTTATACAATGACAAGCAGCATAGGGGGCCTCAATTTGTGGCAGTTCAGAGGGGGTATCGGGCCCAGAGAACACTGTTGAACTCATTATATCGTATCACACCTCCATCCCTTTTCTACTGATTTGGACAATGCTCTAAAACCATGATTTTTTTAGCTTGGTATGCTCCAATTATTACATTCCCTGTTGGTGCAATCTTATTTAAGGAAAAATATAATAAAGAAAAACTAAGACAATGTGTCCCTCCCTAAACTTTCCCACATTTTAACTCTTCACTTACCTGTATTAAACGATCAAGCTGATAGAAGTTCAGATGTAGTGTCTCAAAACCTGTTTTAAACAAATGCCTCAGCTTGTATTCAAACATCAATTTAACAAGAACTGCAAACGCTTGCTCCTCTGGCATCTGGAATGTCATAAGATCAACATAGAAGAAGAGCGATGCTGAATGGTTAGTAAAGCAATATGATAGGGCACTTGAGAGGAATTTCATATTAACAACAGAACAAGTAATATATTTTATTTTCATTCAATCGATTGATAATTAAGGTTCATTTCTTAATATTTTGCCATCAAGCAATAAAATAATCAAAAGTCATGGTTAGTTTTTATGAGTAACTGTACTTACATGTAGTAACAAGGAAGCAGCTAGAAAGGAGAGACCTTGACAATAGCCCACCTCTTCATCATACACTGAATACGCCTGGAATAGAATATAACAAGGTAAAAGGTATCAAGTGGAAAAATAATAAACTGCACTGAATAAACTGCATCAAGTGACCAAAGGCAGCATTAAATTGCCAATGTGACTTACATGATATAGCTGGATAAAGAAGAAGAATACAAATACCAACTCAGCCATGCAATCAAAATTTTACACAATCAAATTTTGCATTTAACTCCTCCCGCATATTTATCCCCTCCTATATAGAAAATGAACTTTGTTCTGAATCCACAACCATTTTCATTTTGACACCATCCCTTACCTTGCTTATTTTAAAGAGTGAATCCTGCCCCATACCACCAGTCTCACGGAAGAAATCATGTGCTGGGAATGTGCGGTTGATATCTCTCTCTATGACCTTCTCACACGGAGAATCCTGGAAACAAATTCAAGGCTAGAAATTAAGCCTTGGGGTGTCTGGTATGTCCTTTGAAATCTAATACAATTAAATTGGTGCTGAATAAATAAAAACACATCCGGCAAAAGATCGACGAAGGAGTTCAGTAAATATGTTCCACTGCTACATATGTGATACCACTGTTGACAATACTTTAAGGAGTAGTATCACCATGTACAACCAAAACGCTGCAACTTTCACTCCGGGGTGTTTTATTCACAAGTAAATGCTGCAAATCTTCATTCGTTACTATTTTATTTATTTCCGGAGCATTTACAATTGAATGAAATGCTCTGTCGTGAATGTAGAAGAGTTTGGGTTGTAAATGCACCAATTACAGAGAACATGGTATATACCTTTGTAATGAGTATCCTATATGCCTCCATCATCTCCTCACTCTGCTGTGCCCCCACAAGTAGCTGCCACACCTCCCCCCTTAGTGCCTCAGGGATGCCCTTACGTACAAGGGCAGGGACAGTCTTAGGTCGGGTAGATAAGTCACTCTGCCACTTCTCGAGAGCCTCTCGCCATTTGTCAAGGAGGAACTCATCAGTAATATCTTTGCTGACAATACCAGATCCACTCAGCAGAGGTTCATCACCATCTGGGGAAAGATTGGTTTAAATTAGAACTGTGTCTCAAAAAAAAATTTACTGATGTTTCCTGAATTTCTAGCATTGCGCGTCATTGATTTTGATTGCTTATTTACCTGAGTCATTTAGGTCATTACCCTCACTGAGTTCTTGGGGAGTCTTGATTTGTTCTGGTGGGATACGATTTGGTGATAAGGTCAGCGTTAGTTTAGATTTACGCTCCATTTCTGTATGACTTTCTACACTTTGGACTTCAAACTTCTTAGCTGTATCAGGCTTGGATTCAATCTGGAATTCATAAATTAAATGGATTAAATTAAATACAAGAGTAATTTGAAGACATAGTGGGAACTCCATTCTGATGTTTGAATGAATCTCACATGACTGCACAACTTAAGAATTGTCAAACTTGTTGAAATATCATATCGCACATAAAATTAATTTAAATGTATTATCTGTCGAATGAACATATATAATTGAAACAACAATACGACCATAATATATTTCATTCTATGGAGGGCGATACCAGTGTTCATATTTCAATGAGTTTTGTGGGTGTATTCCAAAGCCCAAGCGCAAAAAGGAATATTGGTTTTATTATATCATCGTTAGGCACTATTTATGACCACCTTTCATTTCAAAAAAGAATATGACTGTGTCATGGGTAACAGACCTGTAGCAAGGAGGGTGGAGTTTGGGGCCAAAAGTTCTTTCAAAATTATGCAATTTTTCACAATTCTGAGGACTTTTCAAGTGATTTTTGGCCAAAGTTGTCAAAATTCTAACCCCCTGGAATTTTTTGTGAAGCCCCTTGGCAAAAGCTATGGGCCTGGATTATATCTCCTTTTCACATTGATGGTTTCCTGTCTAGGAGAGAGAGAATCTCTTATTATATTAATGCCATGAGGTATGAATAAAAAATGTCCATTTATTGTTACATTTTATACTCTGAAGACTTTTGTAGTGTTACCTATCTTTAGTTTGAAGTTCAATACAAAATCCCCAAAATTCTATCAGATTGATTTTTCTGACTTTTTTAACATCTATATAATAATATTTTTGAAAATGGCATACTGCTTTTACAAAATATATTCGGAATTCCCAAGTCGACAATACACCCAGCAAAACATATCTTATAATCCAAAAGTTAGGGGAGCTGTGAAATATGCTGTGGTATTTTACTATTTTTATCACATGAACATGGTGCTAAATCGACTAATCAAGTTAAACGATTATAGCAATGTAATAAATGGCTTAATGACATACTTTTTTTTATGACAGACAAAACATTACACATGATGATTTAAAAATATACCAGACAGTATCAGATAGACACACATACAAATGTTTACTTGGAAGGAGTCAAATTAACTGACTCATTTTACTTCCTCACACTTGTATCATCAATTACCAAAAATAACATTCACATATATTTTTGTTTCCTTAGTTTCAGTTTTTATTTGCCTAATATCTGAACTGTATTCTATCAAAGGGGCTTTCCCTTAGAAAGGTTATTTCCATATCAAATTGAGCAAATTATTTCATTTCAAATACCGAAATCCTGAGAAATAAATATAAATACCATAATGACAAAAATGTTGGGCAACATTTGAAAACACAAACGTATATAAAACCAAATATGGCATAACATAACAAAATGCTTCCATCAAATGGGAAGAATGAACACTTATAAGAAAAATGATGGCTAAATAACATATATATGTCACCTTCCTGATGATATCTAACCCAATCCTACCTCTTTTAGTGTTAGATAAAACTGTTCCTTGTGTGGTTTCTTTGTGAAGTACCAAAACTTCTCATTCTGTGGATATATCTTTGCCTTGGTTTCTATTAGCAACCTTACTGGCTCTTGAATTCCTTCTATGACTAGATCTACTGCTATCGTGAGGAACACCCGCGTGTCTGAAATGTCAACAGTTCAATAATTTCACATTTTTTATTACAATATCTTATCTCTGTTAGAACTATTTCGTTATACTTAAATAGTACACACATATCATAATTCAAAATATGTTTGAAACTTATCAGATAAATCATGGGCTTTCAAGCCCATGGATAAATCAAGGATATGCTAGAAGAAATTGATAGTGATCTTGTCAATATACAGTTTCTTTATATGAGTAACTCCCTTTCGTTATAGCCTTATATTCAATATCCAAATTGTGATGTGAATTTCCTTACAGCACTCTCAAATCACTGTATCTTTTATAGCAGTACTAAACTGAAGATCTTCTAAACAGCATTCACTTAAGAGTGAGATGGTAGATTTTCAAGTAAACCATAAAATATTTCCTTACTAAAACAACAATTTACTGAATGGATCATGTGATCAATCCAAGCCAATCATATGTCATAAAATTGGTCACATGACTCATAACAATTGTTAATGCAGATAAAAGGATCAACTCCATGGGAAATTCACAGATATCTTGACCTTTGAGAGTGGTAAGTGTAAGATAACAAGTGTAATGTTGCTGCATTAGCAAAATATTTACAATATTGATGTAAAACAATAAACATCTTGATAACTATAGTTTTAGGAGTCAAATACTTCTGATAAGAAATGTTAACAAAATGACCACAACATGTATATGTTGGACTATACATGATAAGACTCTAATTAATATGTTTTTTTGTTTTTGTATAGTTTTTCAGAACCTCATGTTACTAACAGCAAGCTTACTATGAGGCAGCAACTGGTCACATGTGATAACAAATTTGGCAATTTTATTTTTCCTAATGTTGACATTCAATAATATTATATTTAGGCGTTTATCAACAGTGAACGTAAAGATTCCAAGAATCTTTATAATTGTCACTTTTTATATTATTGAGAATTGTACAAAATTTATTATTAAGAAATAGCACAAAATTAAACTATACAGACATAGTGCTATTTAACTCAAATGATCTACCCGGTATATGTATTACCAAATCAACTGCGACTTTCTTTAATACCTAAATTCTTACCTTTGGGTGTCTCATTGTTCAGTATCTGGAAGTGTGGGTCAGTTGGGTCCCAGGTTCCTAGGATATTGTAGGTTTTACCATCAGGAGAGTAACCCATAGATAGCTATAACATAGAACATACAGAGTTTATGAATCATGTCTCTGGACTCCCCCACAAATCCCCCAAACACACTTTTTCAAAATGCTTAAAACTAAAGATAGTGAACAGAAATCTGGTCACAATCTTTCAAGTTGCTTGACCAACTATATTTTCATGTTTTTCCAGGCAGTCTTTTCTACAATTGACCTTTTTCCATAAATGGAAAATAGATGGCATCATGGGTATTGGTAGGGCTATGGTAGGGCTAGAATACATGTAAATGTATTGCCAGAGTCACTTAATTTCTTGATTTAAGAAGTAATTCCATTTGGATAAACTTAAAACACCATTGGAATGTAACTATACGATCTTATTGACATGTGGATTGAGATTTCACATTAAAATTATGATCCTTGTTAGAGTAAATGTATTTTTAAAGGTTTTTCAGCATTGTGTCAATGGGGATTTAGCCTGACCTTTTTTAGACAAGTAGAAAATCATTAGATTTTGAATAAAGGCAAATAACAGTGCAAGTCAAAGTTGGTTTGATAGAAAATTACACAGGGAAATCAAATAAGCCACCAAATGGAAGAAAAATTTAGTCTTTAATGGTAAAAAATTCAGATCTCCTAAAATCTCATTAAAACGAGACTTTAACAAGATTTCAAAGCTATATGGAAAAAGGACAATTGTGTATGATGTACACTCTGGAATCATTAGGTTAAAGATATTTTTGGGGAAAGGGCTTCTGAGTGAAATAGCTTGGAGACTACACTTACCATGTCTATTAAATGCAGGTCATTCTGTTTTACGCTTCTCCCATGACAAATTAACAGACCAAAGCACCTGGATATAAAAATTCAGAATATATAATATAAAGTGATTAAGTGGATTCAATATACATAGAAATTCTTAATATTTCAAGTCATAAAGGAACACATATTACAATTGATCTGTGCTGTCAAAAAAGGCTAAAAGAAAACTTATTTTAATTAAAGTGAATCATCAAAGCACCAGAGAGGTGCAAACTTTGACTCCACCACTCCACAGAAACTAGACAAACTTTGGATTACCACAAATTTCTTATTTTATAAATAACAGTTATTGACAATCAAATATTCATACCTTTCTATCTTCAACTCTCTATTGGCCATCTGCTGTACTGAGATTCCCATCTTTTTCTCCAGATTGCATCTAAACTTGAAGACATTCTTGTCTTTCGGACATGTTGCAAATCCTCCCTTGCTGTCTTCCTCTTTGAACTCTAATGCTGTGTCAAATCTGAAGTAATTTCCAGAATATTTCTCGCTTTCTACTTCCTTGTTTGACCGTTTCCGAACCTTTCTGAATGCGTTAGCAAATGTATAGATTATCTTGGCAACCTGGAATTCATATAAAGAGGCAATTTATTCAATACTCTTTAAAACCACATTGATGAATTAAACAGGGTTAATGAGAGATAACAAGGCATTAACATGTCAAAATGGCATCAGCTGGTTGCAATGACAGGTGTTACAGTTGTTCCAGATGCAGAATGCCAACCCATGATGCCATTTACATCATATCTCAAATTCATTATTCTGTTCAAAGTAGGTCAAAATGTGCAACTTTCAAAGTCCAAGTAAGTTCAAATGGGTTTTCAATTCAAACAAGGCATTAACATACAAAATGTCACTACCTGCCATTTGTTACAGATGCAGAAGGCCGGCTGTCACCTTCTGACCACTGTGGTCCACAAAAATTTGAGACAATAACAATATGCCACCACTCGTGGATGCAAGACTACTTTCAAAATCTGGTTTGAATGCCAGGGAAATCACTCGATCAGTTAAAATCATTAATGAAATCTTGTTTATGATCATTGTGCTTAACTTACAGCTTCTGGTCTTTGACACTTGAAGACATGGCACTGAAAAATAGCTGATTCAGCAGTTTCCCCATGACTGCATGTGAAAGCAAAGCACTCTCGCTCTTTGGTGTTCATTGGGCCGCGTGCACAAAACACAATGTAGTGGATCTTATATGTGGCTATATCTGTGTTAGTTGTCGGGTCAATCAGCCTGCAGAATAAAGAAATGGTAAATTTGACCTGAGAAGTGCAGCGCTGAGACTGTAAAGGCAGGGAATCAGTAGACATTCAAATTCTACATTATGGAATACTTTTTCTGAATGTATACTTCTTTAACATAAGATTATTCCAGTTTCAAATCAGCAGAATCATCACTAAATGATTTTTCACCATCCATCGAAGTATTCGCTTTTTCGTCAACAAATGAAACATTTAACATAAGGATTGAAATCTGGCAATTGGTATACAGATAATAAACTTGAATTGCGCCTTCCAATGTAATTATATTCTAAGAGGTACCAAAATTGTTCCCTCTAAGCGACAGTGTTTCTTCAAAAACTGTTTGCACTAAATAACATATACATTGTACAGTACCTGACAGTGCCATCTGAAGTGGATGGTACAGATAACACGACAGGTATGGCCATGTGTGATTGGTTGTTCATCTCCGCCATATTGCGGTTCATCTCTACTTCACTCCTGGGTGCATTCACTGTGGCAGAACCCAAGTAGGTCACCGCATTGAATAATGTGAACTCAGCCTCATCTGAAAAACACAGGGGTGTTATCAGGGGTGTTATTGATATATATATATGGGTGTAACATAAATATTTGATTTAGCAGATCAATGTTTTATGATCAATTCTCAATCAAATTATGAAAGCAAGAACAAAACATTATCTAATTTTTAAAACTATGAGATTATCTATCAATTTTAGTTTTTTCATTGATAAGACATTGCAAAACTGTACAAAAGCAATTGATATTACATAAATTTCCCACTTAACCAACCGAGATATGTAAAATTATTGTTGCTCTTTATGCTTTCCTCTTAAATCTATTTGTTCTCACAAGGATTTTTTTTACTGTGCATTATCTTTCAAAATTCTATCCAGAAATAATCAAAATATTATTTTTCTTATTTTCAAGTGGCCGCAGTAGCCATTTGCTTCAATGCTGGGAAGATCACTGTCAACATTTTCATAATATTATTTAAGAATTTTATTCTTATTCTAGGTGACTAACCAACAGGTAACATTTGTTATATCTGAGAAAAACATCTTTACTCACCATGAGTTTACCAAGAGAAGTCCAGGACAGATCTTAACTACTGTATGTCATTATGATTTTGTTAGAAAGAAAATTCATTTAGCAACATTACATACTAAAGGATGAGATTGTCACAAAGTTTTATATGAATCCCCATGTTGTGAGCATCGACTTTTTCAAACACCAAGAGACTGATAAATGACATCAATATTAAATTGGACTATCAACTTTTGTAGTAGTGTGCATGTAGTGATTGTGATAATATCAATGAATTGTAGTTCAGTAGTAAAGAGAATGGCAATGAATTGTTGCTAAATGATTCTGGAATGATGTACAGTGAGCAATACCTAAATGTGAACACCTCTTTCGTGAACTTTTTGAGGGGGAGTCTATTTAAAGATATCCTATTGATTTCCATGTTATTCAAATCTCCTTAATGGGAATACAAGTAGAGCAGTTCTCTTGAGGCAAGCTTTATTATACAGTCTGCACGAGCTGTTAACCATGATCAGTACAGACCCAAAGGAGGATTTGCTCCCAGAGTGCAACATCGATATTCTGTCCAATATATGGGCATGTCGTGATACAAAATTCGAATTCAAACAACCACTATTTTATTCACTTCAACATTTGAATTGTGAATTTTGGTCTTATTTCCAAACAAAAAATTCTAAAACTCACAAGAAATGACTGAGATATTGGTTCGAATCTTTTGAACTGTTTATTTTGAATTTATAGTCGGTCATAATACAAGAAAATAACGACATTTCGACTTTTCATTGTTGGAAAATTATTGAGTTTCGGTCCTGGGAGCCAATCCTCCTTGGTACAGCCCTGAATCTTTAAATGCCATATTTGCAAAGAATATGATATTTCTCCACTGGTTATAAAAACTGTTTCCATTTTGATATGACATCCTATCATTATCACATTAACTATGGAATAATATACTATACTAAACACATTAATTTACTTGGTATTTTCAATAGGAGGCTCAATAATGGAATGACATTAATTATCTCTGGATTTAGTAAACCATTCACGCAATGAGGTGTTCACGCAAAGGTATAGGTCTAACTGTACAGTAACATATTAGAAGATTTTAAATGTAAGAAGCAACGCTTACCTAAAATTTACAATGCTTTAGCCACCACCGAACACTTCCCTCAATTGTGAATTGTGTCCCAGAATTAGAGAGGAAAATTGACAGTCAAATGAGAGAATACAATGTGTCCCGAATGTATGGGACCCCCATAGGCAGACATATACCAATGTATCCATATAGTATGTGTAATATATCATTTCAAAGCTTATCCAAAGTTACATTGATTTGCCAAGTATCATGGTTCTACTCACATATGGAAAAAGGTTACAGGCATTTCAAAACTTAGTGTTTGGCTAAAATTGAAGTTCAGATCAGTATTCTGGAAACAGCCTGGGCATGAATGTGACCGAAAATATGTGTGCTATCATTAAAGATAGGATGAATATTGAGTTGGAAAAAGAGAAAGATGAGGGCAGATACTCCAAGGAAACTCTTCTAAAATGCCTAAAAAAGGTTTCATGAGGATAACAAAAAGCTAAACCCTTATTTGAAGCATGTTTAAGGTCATATCTGAAAAGAATTGCTACTTGGTAAATCAATGTAACTTTGGATGAGCTTTAAAATAATATATGGCACACTGGATACTATGGATATCTTGATATATATCTGCCTAGGGGGTCCCATACTTTCTGGACACCCTGTACATACAAAATCAAAAGCTAGAGAGAACATAGCTTAACAACGAATCAGTATCAAAATTGCTACAAAAAAGGCTTAAAAATAACAAACAGAAAAGTGAGTGAAAGTTGAAAAAATATGAAATAAAAACTGTAAATAAGAAACTAAAACACATCTAAGATCAAAATAAGCAACCAGTGACTGGTAATCTCAATAGCAAATAAGTTGCACCATCAAGCATTGCATTACTGGATGTTTCCAGATATTTTTGTTTGGTTTTATAGGCTTCAGAAGCAGATAATTCCCATAAATAAAGCACATTTGTGGCCATGTTTTGAAATGCAAAATTGAGTGAGAATAGTGAAATAAAAAGGAATGATATAAAGAGGCAAGACATTGGCACCCTTATTGTACAAAAATGTAAAAAATGTCTTTATAAGCAAGTCTTAAAAAGAACTGGCAAGCAAATTAGCATGAGTTAATTAGGAGTTACAAGAATGGGCAATCAAGGAACATCTTAGAGGAAATCCATGTTTTAGAAATTGCGGAAATTAAAATTGGTAGTTGGTACGAGTTAAAAACAAGTCAATAATTTAGAGATACTGAGGATTTCAGGATATCATTGAAAAGAAAATTTAATGAAAGAGATAGGAAAATTCCGAAGGGAATCCCTAATGGGTGTAGTTCAAGTAAAACATAAGTACAATTCAGGAATGAAGCCCAAAATAACTCTATATCATTCATTAAACTATTATGGTCTGTTATCAGGTACAAATATCTCCCTCCCTAACCTCAATATTTTGATGAAGCAATAGCAATGTAATCAATGGGAACCTGGGTTTAATGCATTGCTAGACTATGTTTCCACTGCTACTCAACAGGATTGTTTTTTTTAAATCATCTCCAAATATATTTGCCAGCTATCTTATAGGTTCAATATTTTTCCAATGAATATTTTTCAAAAATAATTCAGATAATGGACTTCATGTGTTGTTTATTATTCTTTTTTCATCCCATTCTACATTTCTCCATTTTACATTATAAAACAGGACCAGCATCCTATTTCTGGGCATGCTTGTTGAGAACCAGTCAAACCCCGTACCCAACACCCATCCACTCAATGTTAATGTTACCTTCACTTTCATTACTGCTGTCATCATCGCTAACATCTGGGTCATCATCAAATTTTTCTCGGCCTGAAAAAAAATCGCCAGCCGAGCGAAACATGTTGTTACCCGCATTACGTAGTTTTGAGAAAATCATTGGGACATCTGAATATTTATTTTGAGTCTTAGAGTCATTATTCTGTGGTAAGGTATCAATCTGAGACATGCCTTCACCTGATTGGTCCTTTTCCATAGTCTCCATAGCAACAGCTGAATCTACGCTACTTGTATTAGCATCGCCACTTCCCTCACTATCAGCCATCTTGGTTTTGGTTTCCTCTAAAACTTCCGTCAAATTTTTCTCTAGCTCAACGCTATCTCCGTTATTAGGAATCTTTAGGCGGGGTTCAGAGTTGACAAGGACAAATTCATCGCCAGTAGAGGCAGAATCAACTGAATTTTGACTTAACGTGTCAGCCATTTTGTCTGTGATGTCATCATCTTCAGAATGGTCTGTCCAGTGTTCTAAAAAGTAAGGGACCTGAAATAAGAATGTTATATCAAATTAGTTTTAATAGTCTTTAAAGTTAATATTTTCTTCTATAATAAATACATGTACAGTTATATATATTCCAAAAAATGAGAGAAATTATTTTTATCAAATAAAACTGAGAAAAAACAGCTAAAAACTGACCTCACAGGATACCATTTTTACATTCTATGTCTTTTCTTCTTCTTTTTGATAAATATTTCTATTAATCCATGAATTCCCGAAACCTATACTATCAATTACGTTTTTCTTTTCTTTGTTCTTTGTTTATATACATGTACATGTTGACAGTGGCAGTAAATAATATAGAATTTATCAAAGAATACATCATTAGGGCCAGTTATCAAAACAAGATACATGGAACATGTATTATTAGATAGTAACCTAAATGATAAGACATAAGGACCTTTGTCTCAGGACATCACAGACAAACAAAGCATACAACTGTTTCCTAACTTGTCAACATGTATCCCTTTATGTCAAACATTAGGGAAATTGGCAATTAAATACTGACACTGACATTTTGTTCAAATATTGAAATATTATGTCATAAAAAATGTCATATTCTCTCAATGAATGAACAGTTCCGATAAAGGCGATATCAGTTGAATATTCAATTTATTTCATGTTTATTTAAACAGGTTTCTAAATATATATCAGGAATCTATATCAATTTTACAATAATGAGTTCTGTTAACTCATGTTAGTCAAGTTCATGGGAATACTTTTTGAATTCACTAGGCTAGATTATGTGTAGAGAAGTGTGATCCCGGAGTTGTGATATCACAAAATTTATATGCTAACTTAACTCTTGACAAATCATTGCTCCTCTGGTCTGACCGAGCAAACTTTATGTGTTAAACCTGCACATCGCTCCAAAACGCAATCTTGGGTTGTTTCGGGGGTGAACTTTATCATTTTGAGCTTAATGAAAGATTATAGAATGATGAACAAATGGGGCAAATCTTGTGTAGAAATACTTACGATAAATGTGTCATTTCAAAGATTATTCATTGAATTGCTTCGATCGGCGCCGACGATATGATTTTGGAAAGGTTTCTAAATGAAGAACGTGACGTCACTTCCGAATCATAGCATTCAAAATAAGTAGCGTTTAATTACTTCCACCATCCATAAGAACACGGTGGTCTAGGGGTACAATTCTCGCTTAGCACGCGGGAGGCTCGGGTTCGAATCCCGCATTCGCCTTTTTATTTTTTTTAACTAAATGATTGTTCTTTGATATAACGCAGAAAAAAACAATTTTTATTTACATAAACTTTATATTAGAGCTTAAAAATCTAAAAACAATATATGTCAACATATTGCGTTTTGGAGCGATGTGCAGGTTTAACTGAACTCATTTCAAATTTAAGGCCAGGGATAGAATTTACACTTTTTCTCTGCAACAATCAAATATAAAAATTAAGGATTTTGACAAAGAATGTGACAGTCACTTACCTACCAGCATTTAATATAGTCGTATATATTTATCCGTATCAGCTTTGTTTTGTCAACCATGAAGCATACGCACAATATACAAGAGAAAATAAATTGAGTGTCAAAACTATTTTTGTTACTGAAAAGATACGAAAGACTCAAACCGAAAAATCACTGAACACATGTAAATTTATATTCTTAATTTGTTGATTTAACCATGGGCTTTCAACAGACTTGAAAGCCAATGATTTTACATTTCATAGTTTGTTGACTCTTCGATATCTTGGTCTCAATATTAGAGCATCAGCAACAGGCCTTTATACTCCAACAAACAAAACTCATTCATGTTAGGATTTGTTTAAAAGTTACATGGGGCAAACCCCCTCATCAATTGACTCTTTATAGTGCACTACCTGTGGCCTATTGTTAAACCTGTATTACAGTAATGGTAAACTCTTAGTCTTACATTCTCTCTTAGATTCATCCACAAACGAGCATTCTTTATTTGACTTTATCGCCAGACATGATTGACTGATATGTCAACAAAATACTTCATCTGATGTCACCAGCAAGAAATGGAAAGTCGAAAAAAAGTATCCATCACTTCTCTACATTATTAGATAATGTGCTTATGCATCTTGGTTGACAAAATAAAGATAATCCAGGTAAATGTATAAGTACATGTAAGTGTATACCAAATTCTGGAAGGTGAGTGCTTGGAATAAAATAAACTGGAAAGGCAATTCAATTGTGTTTTTAGTACTCTATTGTTGTATGTCTGTCTCCTAATGTTCAAATGACAAATCCTCAGTTACCTTGACAAATTATTACTTTACATTTTGTGAAGATCCATGTCACATATACAGGAACTATAATTGATAATGCAGCTCATGTGGTTTTGATTTTTACCTTATTTCCCTTGTATGACATAAAAAACATTTCCATATCAAAATCAAAGGACATAAATATGAATACCAATCCGATGTGGCGCAGTTACAAGGTGACATCACATGTAGGGCAAAGTGGTGTAACATCAATGTGTGGAATAATGCTGACACCAGAAATATGGTAACTTTGACACAAGAATTTACTTTTTCAGCATGCCATGTGTGATTTCGAAAAATCTCACCAGATCTGGATTCATGCAAGAAAAAATTATGTCACTTGTTATATTTTGTGACTGGAATTCCCTACAAAATTACCTTGCTCATCACCTAAAATTTCCTGATTTTGAGAGAATATGTTTGAGAAACAATAAAAGGTCAGTGAGGCAAATTAGAAGGCAGTGTCAAATTACTTTAGAAGTAGATTTTGAACTGCGAAGTGCAGACATAACTTCAAAATCACCAAAAAGTCGAGTGACATTTTACATTTCCTCCAACCTTAGATCAGAAATTAGAGCAAATAAACAACAAGGTGTCGAAATTACCCCATATGTCAAAGTTACCCATAATTAAAACGAGATGGGTCAATATAGATAGTACAGGTGTGACAATTTTCAATTATCGGAGAGACATGGAAAAATCAGAGACATGAGTTGCCTTTTCATAAAACATTATTCACATGAAATCCGACAGTCAAAAAATCAATTTATTCTCTCATTCGGTTGTATTCTTAAGTTTTTCCCCTATGTATAATAAATTTGGCCAATGACTTATCTACACCTCCTAACTCACTGGTGATCCACTCGATTACGCTGGTTACCAAAACGGTTCGTTTTGGTAACAAAATGTCGGAACATCGAAGGTACGATTTTTCTCGTTTCCTTATTCTAAACGTTGTAGGCAGAATTCCCACGACATTTTTTAACGCAAACGTGTATCAGTATCATATGTTTAAGAAATTGTACATATTTGCGAACAAATAGCTCAGAAGACAACAGAATCGTCGATTTACTTCCTCACTTAAGTTACATAAACGGTTTGGGTTAAAAGTGCAGATCTTAACTGTTTTTCGAAAAACCGTTTCTGTAACTTAAGTGAAGAAGTAAATCGACGATTCTGTTGTCTTCTGAGCTATTTTTTCTCAAACGTGTACATTTTCTAAAACATATGATACTGATGCACGTTGTGAGAAAAAACGTCGTGGGGATTCTGCCTACAACGCGTGAAATAAGGAAAACAGAAAAATCGTGCCTTCGACGTTCCGACATTTTGTTACCAAAACGGTTCGTTTTGGTAACCAGCGTAATCGAGTGGATCACCAGTGTAACTTTCGTCAGTTGATCACAGGAAATTGAAAAAAATCCGATTTTCTGATATCACGCAAATCATTTCTCCTCGTATTTCGTCTCGAATTCCAACATGGAAGAACCCTGCGTGTAGAGTCTAGTTAAACTACACTTTGCCTAGTAGAGACCATATTACAGTTTAGTAGCCCCGCCCCATGATGGGTACCGGTGACAGTATGGGTAAATCACTTTTGACCTACGCGCTGACCTTCCACCAATCAGCGAGCTTGAAGAAACATACGGCAAATGCGTTCTAATTAAATATGCGCATGTCATTGGTCAATTCCGGGCTCAACGATGATGTCAGAAGGAATGACCATATAAAGAACGTCGGTCAAATTTGGCCGACGAACACTGATGGGCGCTCTGAGTTCACAGGTTTATTTTAGTTTGAAAGAGTGAAGACGAAGCTCTCTTTTAAGAAGTGTAGTCAAACGAATGCAAAGGGTAACATGGAAGAGATTCTAAGAAAATGACGTCATCGAAAATGGACTCGTCGAAACGTAGGGGACAAGGTATGTATATATCAAACGCTGCCATCTTTCTTTGCAATGGCGAGTTACAGGCACAGTTCCTCACTTTATCTGGAAAAGAAGAAGTTCTCGGACTTAGTTGTCCGTCTCCACCAGGCACTTGAGAAGGAGATGACTACAAAGCTGAATATTTCTAACCCCTGCCAAATGAACTCGTCCAGATTTTGAGATTTCTAGTTACTCTGACATCACTCAAACAGAAGTCGAGAGGAACATTTCTGAAGAAAATGACTTAGTTTCTTACTGTATTTGGATCCAATTTCGAGAATCTGCCTACTGACTAGGCGAATATGCACACATTTGACTTCAAAAAATGAGTCATGTACAGTTGGGGACAAAAATAAATGACAGGTCGATTTTCGATCACCATTTCCTAATTATGGTGGTCTGAAAGCCCATAATTTCCAATATTGTCTAGATATATATCCCTTAAAATTTGTATATTTTACATTTTGTATAATCTCATCCACTGATGTATGGCCTCTTGTAAATTCTCTTATTTTTAACATGGGAAATCCTCACTTCAGCAAATCCACCTGTCATTTATTTATGTCCCCAACTGTAAATATGAGTTAGTAGACCAAATGATTCGATTCAGGCATTTGAACTTTTTCTAAAAATGGATTTTTCGACTGTCGGACATCATGTGAATAATGTTTTACTGAGTCTATTCCCAGGTGAGAGCCAGGCCAGGGTGAGAGACAGTCACATTCATTGTCCAAATCGTGTTTTTATTATATGATCGACGCGGAAAAATGGCGAAATATACTATATGCCAAAAGAACATG